AGGGATGAAGAGGTCCTTGTTCTAGGACTTGGTTATTTGTTGTGTTGGACACTGATGGAGAGAGATAGAGTGGTTGTGGGATTTTGGTGTAACATGCACATGGCTTCCTGGGTAGGTTTACATGTTGTTAGCTACGCCAACTTGTCAGCCATCCCCATGGCTCACCTGCTTCTTAGACACCTGGTGCTAACACCAGTGTGTCCTCCACACACATTGGTTTGTGTGCCCTTTCTCACCCATGAAAAAAGATTAGGTTTCTACCCCTCCTCCTTATGTACTGCTGAGAAGGCAAACAGACTTTCTCTGTATTCAGAGTTTTAGTTGAATAAACCCTACCATGGCAATTCTCAGAAATAATAGGAAAACAATGCAAGGAAAATTACAGTGGAAAAGTTAAAAATTATACTACCAGGCACAGCACTGGCAAGTCCAGAAGTTCCATGGAAAGGACTGTGGAAAGACTTTGGGGTTTTGGGAATTTTTCCTCAAGGCAGCAAAAAGCTATTGATGGTTTTTAACTAAAGATGCAATGTGATTAAAGACCATTTAAAGAAACAAAAGATTGTTTTGCAAAAGAGGTCACTTGCAAAGGAAAAATCAATAGGAACTGATCAGATGTCATTTTTCAGGTGTCAGATGTCATTTTTCTTTCTTTAAACTACTCTTTCTTGAATAATTCTCTCTAAAATAGGGTTTTACTCTAGTTGAATATTACAAATATCAAAACTATTTATGCATAGGTGCTTTTATGCTATAACATTTCTTTCTCATTTACAGCCAGGAGGCAAGCTTACAATGCTTCTCTAATTGATTAGGAAATTTATTTTCCAGATGCATGTGACTTGTCTGAGATCATTGAAAAGATGAATGGCAACACAGGAAGTAGAGTATATAGTTTGATTTGACCTGCTGCATATCAATTTATTGCATGTAACATCACCCAATAATCACTCTATTACTAGACCAGGCAGGAGACCCAATCCAGGGCAGAACATTTGCTCTTCTACCTTTAAAATTCCAATGTTGCATGAAAGCAATGGCCCATACTATGCTAATTTTTCCCAGGACCCCTCTGAGATCCATATAACTGACATATGACCCCAGTGGTCAGCAACAGAAGTCTTGCCACAGTTCTAACCATCTGGGTTACAAATGGTTCTCTTTTCTCTGTGGCTGGTGCCGAGGGCCTCTGGGAAGGAATCCTTGGCAGATTTGAGATGCTCTAATGAGGCCTCAGTCATGAAAGTGATAGTGACTTAAGGAATCACACAAGGAAGAAGCAGACCAGGGCCAAGTACAGATTTCTCTGCCAAGGTCCCACTGAAGTAGATCTGGGCTCTCCCAGATCTCAGTGGCTTTAGCCAAGGTTTCCTTTTGCCATCAACAACTGTCCACAATGGAATGAATGGAAGAGTCTCTCTTCTTGCTTTCTCCAAGTGTTACTGGGAACAAACCATTTTAGGACTTCTAAATAAGTTCTCACCTGAGGTTAATAGTGGAGATGCAAACCTCCTCCAAACTCTCTGCTTAGGCATCTGATAAATATCTGTGGGACAGCAGACCTCTCCTGACTTGCCCACTGCTCCCCTCAGCAGTGTATTTCAGTTAATCTGTCTGTTCTGTTCCCCACTGTCTCTGGTGAATCCTCTCACCCCTACACCTCTGGCCTCTACCCCAGTTCTTGTATGCATAAAGAAATAAATCTTTTAAAAAATGAATCCAGAGGAAATGCAAAGATAAATCATTTCATTTGGACAAGAGGACAGATGGGAGATTCTTGGATGGTTGCAAGAAAAAGATGACTTCCCAAATAACTGGGAGAATATTGGAAAGAAATAAACTAGGTTTCCACATTCTCAAGGAAGAGCTGCCAGTGGGATGCAAATGGCTGCTTCCTCCTGCCTGGATTTAGCACTTATACTTTCCAGTGATTTGGCACATTTACTCTGAAATTGTTCAATAACTCACTCTTTCCATTTTAATTTTTTATACAAATTTAACAAATATTTGACCTTTCCCCACACTTTACCATTGCATCCTGTCTTCTCAAAATGCATATGCATTTGTTTGATTTCACTTTCCCGTGCATGGTAAGAGTTGCTAGAAATTGCTGGAAAAATCTAGCAATTTTGCTAATCCAGTTGGATGAGCATAAAGCAGATATTACTGAAGATACTTCTCAGACCTTCTAAAAACAAGACCAAACAAACAAGCAAACAAGAAAAATGCCCCTTCAAGGAAGGATGAGGAGAACTAATTATCAGAAAGTAAAATATTACCATGTAGAGGGCCTCCCCGGTGGCGCAGCGGTTGAGTGCTGGGTTGTGAGGCTGCCTGCGGCCTCTGCGGCGCCAGTTCGATCCCCGGCTGCTCCCCGGCCACTGGAGGAGGGTCCCACATGGCGCGCAGACCTCTCCTGCCACCCGCTGCTCCCCTCAGCAGTGTACTTCGGTCCTTCTGCCTGCTCTGCTCCCCGCTCTGGTTCTGGTGGATTCTCTCACCCTCCTGCGCTTCTGACTATACCCAGTGCATGTTTAAACAAACAAATAAATAAATAAAACATGCCTCTATTAAAAAAAATATATATATTACCATGTAAGGCTTCTCTGGTGGCTCAGGGATTAAAGTCTCAGCACTATCAAGCTATTGCTAACCACCGCAGCATGAGTTCAATTCTCCAGCCAGGGAGGAGACCTGCATGGCACAACAGACCTCTCCAGTCTCACCCACTGCTCCCCTCAGCAGTGTATTTCAGTACATCTGCCTGTTCTGTTCCCCACTCTGTCTCTGGTGGATCCTCTCAACCCCCGCACCTCTGGCCTATACCCCAGTTCTTGTGTGCATAAATGAAGATAAATCTTAAAAATTTTCCCATGTAACTTTTTTCTCCTTATCTTTTAATGTTAATTCTTTGATGGAAAATCCATTTGGGTTGGTCTGCCAGGAGATCCAAAATCTTAGGGTGCCAAATTTACATTCAATCCCGGTTTATAGAGCTGTCACCTCCTATTTGAAATAACTAAGAACTAAGAAGGAATGCTTTCATTTTCTGTATATCTAAGGGATGAGAAGCCTTTGGGATGGGATGTGATTTGTGGCAAGAGAAAAGCTGAACACATTCAGTTACACCCAGGGATCAAACAATTAACTAATTTAAGGGGAGGCTACACTGGCATCTTCAGCGCCAAAATTGCCTTTAAAAAAAAAAATACTCTGAGACTCAAAATAGTAAGAAGAGGCTTGGGTATCAGGGTTTGAAAGAATGAAAGATAAAAAGGAAATAACTTTGGCGGGGAGGGAATCTGCGGTGGGGAGGAAGAAACCACAAAACTGTTTTCAGCACAGTGTTCCACTTCTTAATGTAGACCACAAATTGTTTTAGCCTGTGATCAAACTCAGCCCCTGGATTCCCAGGAGAAGGACTTCCTTGCTGGCCCAGCCTGAATGGCAGAGATGGCCTGGGAGGGGTGTTTAAAAAAAGAGCAGGAGTTCTAACTTCAGTTCTCTCTCCAGTCTGAATGAAATGCAACTCTGCTCCATTCAGGTATGGAATAGTTAAAAAATAAAAAGTGTGCGCTTGGCTATAGCTGGAAGCCATTAACACAGCTCAGTAACCCAGTTAGCGGGTGGGTGGCCTGGCCTGGATCCTGAATCTGTGTGTAATCACAGACTCCCAGCACTGGGCAGGGCTTGACTTCTACCTCCCACCCCCTGTAAAACTCTCCTTGGCATCGGTTCAGTTTCTGCTGCACACTTCCAGCCCCTTTGAGGCTCAGGAGGCAGCCTATCACTTCTAAGGCAACTTCAATTGCTAGAAAGTTCTTCTAGGCAACATTTGCCTCTCATAGAAAGTCTTCTGTTCAGTTACAGCTCAGCTCTCTGGTGTCCTAGCAGACAACAGCCTTATTCAGAAAGACAACCATCCCCTGCGCTGTATTCTTACCGCTTAGAGCCAAACAACCCATTTCTGCCAACCATTGCTCACTAGAGATATGCTAGTCTCTAGACCCTCCTGAGGTGCTTACTCTTCAAACCGTGTTCATGTTTCCACCTCCCTTCTGAAGGACGGGTTCCAGCAGGGAGTATCATCCCAGCCCAAAGGGCACCATGACAGTGTCATCACAAGACCTTTTCTTTCGAGAGTTTTTGAGGGAAATTTTCCAGGCAGATTAATCACACCACCCCCTTCTAGGCAGAGTGATGAGAACACCTACTTCAGCTCATTGCCGGGCATGCTTTCAGCTCCAGAGACTTGCCTCCTGGCTGGGCCAGTCTCACCATGGGGTAACAATGCTGAATAGGAGGGAGGAGAGAGTGAATGAGCTCAGCAGGGGAGTTCCCAGTTCTCTACCATGTGTTCATGTGACTGGGATAAAAATCCTTGCCTCTTGAGACTGGATCTAGGACAGGAAGATACTCTTGAACTGATCTATGCAGCTTGTCCAAAAATGTTCCATCGAATTCCACGTCCTTCACAGAACATAAGCTCTCAAACCTCCCTCACCTGATCCAGTTCTGCCTAGCCCCGGGGTCCCTACAGGCTCCCGAGCCTGCCCACCTTGTCCTGACCCCAAGGCCCATGCTCCTGCATGTGCCTTCCTGGAACATCTTCTCCTCCTCTAAGGTTGTCTTTTTCTGGGCTAACCCGGGGCTTCTGAAAAGCCAACACTCCCCCGCATGGACTCAAGGCAGCGTTTCTGGCCACTGGAGGAAGTCTTTTCCCAGATCTCACTTCTTCCATTAATTGATTGTCCAAACAAGCCAAGAATAAGTCTCTTATTTTTGCTCTCTGCAGGTTAAATGCAATGGATGGTCATTGTCGTTGTTTTGGTCTGAGGAACATCCCAATCACATCTTTGTTTTCATTTTGTGGAGAGGCCCAGCATCAGCCCAGATGCTGGCTTTTAGAGATCAAGTAAATGAACAGCTAAGACTTAGAGTCATCTCATATATAAGCTGCTAGCACAAGGTAAAATTTTCACCTCTTTTTGCATTCCCAGCTGTGCCTCAGATCAGTTGTGATGTCAAAGCTGGAAAGATCATCAATCCCGAGTTTGTTGTGAAATGTCCAGCGGGATGCCAAGACCCCAAATACCACGTTTACGGCACTAATATCTACGCATCCTATTCCAGTGTGTGTGGCGCTGCGATCCATAGGTGGGTAGCTACTTATTCACTAGCAAGCAGGGCGCGCATGGGGAGCCTGGTACAAGTTTCCCCTCATTGAGCAAGCAAAAATGTACAAATTTAACTGAGCACCCTGTATTTCATCCAGCCACCCTACCCCATGGGATTATGCAACCCTATGTGTTCTGACTTCTCTAGAGAGTTCTACTCTTTCATGTTCATGACGGAAACCAAAGTTCCTGGTGATATAAAGCCTTTTGTTCTTACTGTATTATGAAGCAAGGAAATAATAAGATTAAGGAAGGTACAAAAGTTTGCAGAAGAAATCTCACAGCTAAGCTGATGGTTTGGAAACAAATGCCAACAGGAAAAACAAGGAGCAAGACAGGTGGTACTGCTTGGTCAGCTGATTTGGGAGCCGGGAAAGAGGACAGGAGAAAAATGCTGTTTTTTAAATCTGTACCATGAAATAAAAATATTTTGCTTTCACCCAGAAGTTAACTTCATGCAAAAAGGACATACACAAATCTACACCTACGTGCACAAATACACATGTGCATGTCCCACAAAATTGCTTGCTCATGCGCATGCATGGTTCCATGTATCTTGTGCTTGCACACACATGCACACCTTCTGCTTGTTCCTGAACATGCATATTCATGCTCACATACATGAATACACATATTCATGAATTACACATATATGTGCATGCCTCTACAATACACCAACACCAGCAGCATTTTCCAGTCTGTGTCTCTGTAGACACTGGCATCTGCAACAGAATCTGACAGGTTTTAAGGTTACTCAAGTTTTTTCTGTCGTGATCTGAGATTGTTGGGCCTGCTGGCTCTCTCTTGCCTTTCCTATGAGGTAGAGAACCAAATTTTGACTCCCCATAGATGTCAACATAATGACAGTAATCCTATATCCTCACACTATGATTCTCTCCTTCTAGCATCATCTTAACCCTATGAGGCTGCTGTTAGCATACCCATTTGTTAGACGAAAAACTGAGGCATAGGAAGTTAATTAAATGGCTCCTTCCATGCTTGTCCAGGATCAGAATTTGTGTCCCTGACTTCCAGCGCACAGCCCAGGTGACACTTTTACTTAAGAACTGGTGGGGGGAGAGGGGATAGGAAAGGTCCAGCTCTGCTTAGGGTACAAAGCGAGGAGTGGGGGGTGGTGTATGCTTTGGAGCAGTTAGCACTGGGGAAGGCTGTAAGAAGAACAGACAGAGCTCTGGGAGAAAGTCAGAAGGGCAAGGAGAGCAATCCCAGTGTGGATTGGAGTGTAGGAACTTGCTGCAAAGAATATAAATGGAGAAAGAGGGACAGAGAAGAGCTTAAATGTTTCAAAAAAACCAGATTTGCTACTTGAGTTTCTGAGTGCCAGTGTAGCTTCCTGGCCCAGTGACTGATCTAGTGGGAAACTCTATTAGGAAAAAAGTATTATCCATGGGGAGGATGAATAGAGGTCTTAAGGGAAAATGGATACTATCAGTTTCATTTTTCACAAACAGTCTGTTTTCAGGAGGCAGGATTTAATACAGAGACATGAATAGAAAGTGCTCGAGGGACCGCCTGTCACCGCCAGAGTCCTCCACAGTCAGACCTGGGAAGCCAGAGAGACCACGCTTAGGCTTAGAAATTCATATTTAGCTTAAAAGATTTAATATTCATACACTATATCATGCTTAGATGTTATTTTTTATGAGTGAATCCCTTGATTCTCTCAAACCAAAGGGATCATGAACATATTTGAGATTTGAGGCATCATATTTTGACTCTGGCATGTCCTGAACTAACTACTGTATTTAAAATGGAACCAAGCACTGGGCAAAAGGGGCGATTTCTCTGTGAGGGGTCTTCTCCCTGCGGAGTATGCTTCACACTGATTTTTGAGCAGATGCCCACCAGTAGAATAGCAGCCAGTCCAAACCTGGCCTTGCAGTGAGCAGTCCCTTCTCTATGGCCAAGAAGCTGAGTTTAGCTAATCCCAGTACCCTGGTGCCAGGACTGGGAAGGAGGTGAACCTCACGGCCACATCCAGCTTCATCTAGGGCATAGGAGAAAGCACAGAAATTGAGCTGGTTTTGCTCTTTAAGAAATATATATCAAGTTCCTAACCTTGAGTGAAGATAAAAATGAGCTCACATTTACATATTCTCCAAATTATTTGTAGCTCTGAACCCGCATTGTCAAATAAGTGAAGACACAAGGGCCTCCCTGGTAGTGCAAGGAATTAAGTCTCAGCATTATGAAGCTAGCTCAGCCACTGCAGCACGAGTTCGATCCCTGGCCAGGGAGCTACCCACATGGCGCAGCAGACCTCTCCTGTCTCGCCCGCTGCTCCCCTCACCAGTGTATTTTAGTAGATCCGCCTGTTCTGTTCCCCACTCTGTCTCTGGTGAATCCTTTCACCACCCCCCACCTCTGGCCTACACCCCAGCTCTTGTGTGCATAAATAAATAAAAATAAATCTTAAAAAAAAAAATGAAGCCACAGCCTATTTCAGGCTCTGCCCCACCTTCGGAATCTCCTATGGTGGTCAAGTCTCCTGTATATCCACCTCCATGAACTACTGTCGCCTCCTGTAGTTTATAGACCACGCACCTCCCAGGATCTATCCTCCTCTAGAAATGTCTAGAAATATCCAGGTCCTCCAGCTATAGCCACCTACAAGGGTGAGGCTTCACCCTTGTCTCCAACAGGAAAATCTCATAAGATATTTTCAACATTTCTGCATCCGGAGCTTCCCCAAAGTCTGGGTTTCCAGTCTTACAAATCTCTCAGTAGTGAAATAAGCAGTCCAGTCCAGCTTGAGACCCCCCTGGTCCTCCTGTTCCCCCTAAGGAGCCTGACAGAGCTCAGCAGAGGTCCCCTTCCCTTGACTGGGGTAGCAGCTGCAGTGCTTGACTCTCACAAAGGAGCAGGTATGTGCACACAATGTTTCCTCAATACAATGGAATACAAATCCAAGGCAGAACAATTTCTGAGGGAAAAGAAAATGGTAAGAGTGATTTCTATTCTCCCCATTAATTATAAATAAAGGCACCACAGGATTAATTTTTTTTAGTAATTAGAATTCTCAGCCTATACGAGTAGTATGTTCATGTTTAACAACCAACTCTACAAATGGGGAGTGGGGTGTAGGGAACTGACTTGCCAATTCCTGTGGTGTAAATATTCACACCGTGGCTGATTTCACACTCCCACTGTGAAATGAACTTATGCAATCCTGAGAGTAACAAATGGCTTTTGAAAATCAGAATAAGTTGTGCTTTGACACCAGTGACAGACCTTCCAATACAGAAGCATAAATTAGTGTCCTTTTCCATAAGGAGCATTTCCAGTCTAGTTGGGAGACAAAATTAACTCAAAAAAATTTTAGGAAATCAAAAGATCAATTAAAATCAGTCCCTGTCATGAGATAAGATGCTAAGACATTAGAAGGGGTAGAAAGGGGCGTTGTAGGCTGTTCAGAATCTCTGTGGAAAAGGAAGCATTAGGGACGGAGCAAAGCCTAGTCGGGCAGAAGTAGAAGGACTCTGGGCTCTCCAGAGGGACAAAGCAATAGGAAAAGAAATGTGTGGGTGGAAATCTCTGTCAGGGGAGCTGAGAGCTGCAGCTGGAAGTGAGGTAACCCCATTAGGAGAGGTTCTGAAAGAAGAGAAGGTAGGCACACAAAGACATGAGCGAGTAATGAGGAACCAATGTTATAAAATACCTGTGTTTTGAAACCTAGTGGCATCTGTGCCCAAGTGGGACAAACCCAAGATTCCTGGGCTCACCTTCCTGCCTTTCAATTTATTAGTTACAAAATCTGATGTTGTTAGGGAGAAATGATGTCATGAGCTAATCCCATACAGGCTTTGTGGACCCCACCCCCACCCCAGACTAAAGCCATCAAGACATTGGGAAAGACAAATCCCATCACCACCAAAGGGAGGGTGGCTGGGACCTGAGGGTGGAGTTGGGCAGCCAGGTTGGGTATAAAAACCAAACACATGGGCCTTGGGGGGCTCGCTATCGCTCGCCTCCTGGCTTCACGGCTCCTGGCTTGCGGCCAGCTCTCAGAGTGCCATTTGGGATTCCAGATCGGCGGATCGGGTAGGACACATTTAAAACTTTGTCTCCCACTTTTCTCCCTGAGCTGTACATTTCCTCATTTCCCCTTCCCTTGTAAATAAACCTTTTATTAACCTTTCGCGTGTGCCTGCAGTAGAGCATTGATAAGTCCTTTTAAGAGCACGGGTGAGGACCCACAGTCAGGCACCCCGTTTTGTATCGGGGTTGCTCTACAACAATGTCACTCAACCTGTCTAAGCCTGATTCTATGAAATGGGAATAGCAGTTTTCCCTCCACTCTACGTCTCAGCCGAGCTTGGAGGATCCAATGAGATTCTGTATGTGGGAATGATTTTAAAGCAATTAAGTGCTTTACATGTCATGTATTATTATCAATTTCTGGCCTTGTGGGTCATTGGAAAGTCAAGTGTTGAAAGATGTTGACTGGCCATGAAGGTGGGGGGCAGGAAACAGCAACTCTCATTCCTACAGGGAAGGAAAGGTGTTGATCGGAATAAGTCTAAGCACTTTTTTAGCTCCCCTGTATCGTAAATCACAGCTACCCAAAGGAGCCATTTTTAGGGCTCTGGGGTAAAGAAAATGACAATGTGAAAGTGATGTGTAGGGTAGAATGGAGCCCTTGTCTCTAGTACATAGAAGGAAAGAAGTGGCTATGTGAGTTACTGTCTCATCATGATTTGATTCCTAGAAATTAAAGAAACTATTTCCAGTTTGGGGGAATTCTTTATAATTAATTTAGTTGCATAGCTTCCTTCTCTTGCCCCAATAAAAGGTATAATTTCCTTTTCCAAATTCCATATCACCTTCTGAAATAACTGGGGTCATCCTGTGAGGTTACAAACCCAATTAGGAATTGTCAGGAAAGAGGTTTTACCTAAAAGAACTAATGGGAATGAGAAAACCAAGGAAAAGAAATTGGAAGCATGGAGGTAAAGAGAAAACTCTGGACTCTCTGACAGAATGAACAATCTGGTCAGTAATAAGAGAAGAACAGGAAGAGAGAGGGAGGGGTCAAAGCCGGGGAGGGAAGCACACAAGGGCCTCTGGTGGTGGGAGAGCTTCAGGGACTACACCTGAGGGGAGAAGCCAATTACTGTACAAAATGAACGATGATGTACGGAAATAAGTTTGGAGAAAAAAATTAATTTAATTTAAATTAAAAATAAAAAAAGGACAGTCTTCCTGGGAAATCAGGTACCTGGCAGTGCCATAGAGTTGCCATTTTGGGGGGCTGGGGTGTTGAGGTTAAGATCAAGGTAAACCTCTTCTTAACCTCCTTGCTCTCCTATCTCTAAATAAAGATGCAGGCTGGTAATGTAATCTTCTGATGACATCAAACATGTTTTTTCCTTCAAAAATTATTTTTCCTCTCTTTGTAGTGGTGTGCTCAGTAATTCTGGAGGAAAAATACTTGTTCAGAAAGTTGCTGGACAGTCTGGCTACAAAGGCAGTTATTCCAATGGAGTCCAGTCGTTGTCCCTGCCACGGTGGAGAGAATCCTTCGTTGTCTCGGGTACGCCCACCCTCAGGGTGGGGGGGTAGGAACACTATTTATTGTTCCTGGGGTGTTTGTGTTAAGTGACCTCCTTGGATGAAATGTGCTCTTTTCAATGTGCTGTTAGTTTTATTTTATGGCCCAACTTATTTCATAAAAATCGGAAGCATTCATTCTTTTGATAAATAGGATCATGAAACAATGAATGATAATTACAGTGAAAAATTGCTACAAAGTCTGGAAATATTAAATGGTTCCAATTGCTCATTTTAAACACTGCAGCGTCCTCATGATTGGATCCAGGTTAAATATTGTAGCGAGAACGCTATGTAGGTAGAATCATAGCTTATCATCATGTCATATCATATTGGTCTTCTCAGGAGGCACAAATGTCAATATCACCAATTATTGGTTATGTTAAATTCGATTAGCATCAAAACATTAGATACTTTGCAATCTCTCTCCATAATAAAGATTCCTGTAATCAATAAGCAATCTGCAAAACAGTGTGAAAGACTTATTCAGCCAAAGACTTTAACATCCATTAATATTTCTATAGAAAGAACTGAATTAGTAATTGCCAGATTATAATTGTTCCAATCTTCCATTCCTTCTAGTATTCTTAAAGGAAAGTGTTCCTTTCCCCTCTCCACAGCTATTTTCTTCATGTACCTCTATCTACTTAGAGATCAATTTTAAAAACACTGTCTATTATAATCTATTCTCATCATTACCCTTTTTAGTGGTCAGATTTTCCAAATTTGACTAGCGGGAGCCCTTCAAGCTTTGAACATGTGCTCAGTGTACTGAACATTACACAAAGTTCCCTCCTCACCTTGTACTTACCCTGCTCCAGACCTCAAATCTTCCATTTTACCTAAAGAAGCTCCATAGGATTTTAAGCTAGATTCTAGTAAACTTTCCTGACATCCCATTAGGATCAGGAGCCATGCAACTCTTCTAAGAAGGCAGCACCTCTGGAAGACCAAGAATGGCAAGGAAGAGAGAAAGGTCTCATAACACAGGAGGCCTCCAACCTGGGTAGTGTTTTGGCACCTGTAGGCCCCAATTCTAACTATCATCCCTTGATTCTTTTTTTTTTTAAAGATTTATTTATTTACTTATACAAGCACTGGGTACAGTCAGAAGCACGGGAGGGTGAGAGAATTCACCAGAGCCAGAGCTGGGAACAGAACAGGCAGACTGACGAAGTACACTGCTGAGGGGAGCAGTGAGTGCAGCAGGAGAGGTCTGCGCGCCATGTGGGACCCTCGCCGGCAGCTGGGGATCAAACCAGTGCTGCAGAATCCATGGGCAGCTTCACAGCCCAGCACTCAACCACTGTGCACCAGGGGAGGCCCCATCCCTTGATTCTTGATAGTAAGAATACAGATGTTTTAGGGACCTTCCCAACTTGAGCCATCCCTGTTTCGTCTTCTTGAAAAGTTCCATACACTTAGGGCTCAAATTAGACCAATTTCCAGGCCAGATAGAGGGAGGTCCCTAACCACAGGACTGAGAGGCTTGCCTTGTAACGAAGAATCCAGAATAAGGACCATATGAAAAATCCTGATGTTTAGGATACACATTTGTCCAGCATGGAGAGAAATACAACCTCCACTTAGGTGTCTACCAAGAGTGTTTCAATCTAAAGTACTTAGCCTATAATCCAAGACTCCCAACAGGTTTAAAAGAAAAATTAAGTCCATGAGAGGAGAGATGATTTTTTTTTAATGAAAATCAATCTGTTGAGATGATTTCCCAAAAATCTCAACTTCTATGTCCCTTTATTCCACCTGGGAACACTTTTTGCCAACAACCATAAACAGCCATGTCTCTGCACTGGTGAGGCGTCTCCCTCAGATGGAGGAGCTAGGAGAGCACACTGCCCCACGAGCCCATCCCCTGACTGGCCACCCAGGTACACACCCCACTCTTCAGAAGCCAGAAGCCAGCACTTTTCCAGAGATCATGGCCGAATCCTCCCTGAAGGCTCAGAGCGCTGTCTTTGTGACCTTTCCTCAGGTTCTTTCACTTCTAATTTCCATAAGTCACTGTGCTTTTTTAATTAATTCACTTGGGCAAGCTGGAGGGGGTACCAAGGGGGATGTGCATTTTTATTAGCTCAATCTTCCTACAGCCCGGATCAGAAAGGTCAGGGGGAGACCTCCTAATTCTGCCTGCTTGTTCATTGATTCACATTTCAGGAAACTGAGCTCATGCTCCTTTTCATTTTGAATAGAAACAAAAAGAACAGGAGGATTTTAGATGTGAGACTAGAAAGTGGGGAGAGGTCTGTGGCATTCTGATGCCTCGGCCACTATTTGGAGCAGGCCTGGACAAGGGCAGAAGACCTGGAGCTGCCAATGTCTCTTTCTAGATGAAGCAATTTGAGTAACCCCAAACATTTTGCCTCATGCCCACTTTGAGTGGCATTTGTAGTAATACAACATTTTTGCTCCTCTATGCTTTGCAAACATTTTAACTTTTCCCCCCTTAGATCCTACTTTGTGTAGTAAATTGGTCCATATCATTATCTGTATTTTTTTAAAGGAGATCATATCATCTTTTTTTAAGATTTATTTATTTATTTACGCATAGAAGAACTGGGGTATAGGCCAGAGGTGCAGGGGCTGAGAGGATTCCCCAGAGACAAAAGGGGAGAAGAACAGGTGGATCTACTGAAATATACTGTTGAGGGGAGTAGTGAGTGAGACAGGAGAGGTCTGCTGCTCCCTGGATAGGGATCAAACTCAGGCCACGGTGGTGATAGCGCTGAGACAACCCCTAGGCCATCAGATACCACTAGGCCCATTTTCTGAATGAAAAACAATGAATCTTAGGGCCTCCCCAGTGGCATAGAAGGTTGAGTGCCACGTTGTGAAGCTGTCTGCAGCCTCTACAGCATGGGTTCAAATCCCAGCTGGCCAGGGAGAAACCCACATGGCGCGGCAGACCTCTCCTGTCTCGCCCACTGCTCCCCTCAGCAGTGTCTTCAGTCAGTCTGCCTGTTCTGTTCCCTGCTGTCTCTCGTGAATTCTCTCACCTTCCTGTGCCTTTGACTGTACCCCAGTTCTTGTACAACTAAATAAAGCTTTAAAAAGAAAAAAGAAAAACAATGAATCTTATACAGTAAGGTAGTTAACTAACATCAAAGTAGAAACAGAAACCTACATTGTCCCCACTCCTACCTCTGGCCCCTCCTGAGATCCTGTTACTCTAATTCATGACTCTACAGTTCCTGTGCCAACAGGATCTTTGGCAAAACCATGCACTAAATTTTGCTGTAACTTCATGGGCTTTCCATTCCCTAAGCCACATCCCTATGAAAAGATTCCCTAGGTTGAGAGTTTAAATGCTTTCATGATTAGATGTAAATATTGGATAGCACGTGAGATCTCTGAAGGGTATTTGAATACTAACAGCTACCCAAGTATAACGATGTTCCTTTACCAAATACTTTTGAGCATCTCCTACATGCTAGACACTGTTCCAAGCATTGTTCCTAGAGTACCCCAGGGGACTTCTATATTTCAGTGGCACATCCCTTCCCATTGCAGAGCAAAGTTCCTACTCCTATGTGGCATTTCAGGCGTCCCTTCCCTGCAGGGTCTGGAAGGTGGGAGGTGGCCACCTTGCCTGCCCTGCCTGTGACAAGCCTCTCCAGCATCCACAAGGAGCACACAGCAGTGTTTGACATTCATCTACTGACCTAATTAAACATTCAAAGCCACTTCTCTGAAACCTTAGCTTACACCTCACATCTTCATGGGCAAAATCAGGGTTGCTAATGTTAACTCCAAGTCATGGAAATTTTATTGCTTCCTTTCTAATATTAATAAAACTTAGACTATACAGGAAAACAAAATGCCATTTCACTTTCTCACTGCAATCAACAATTCCGCATGCAGGAAGACTGATCTTCTTAAACTCAAGAAAAATAAATTGGGTGAAGGAAATCTACTAATCAGTGCATAACCATCTAAAAACTCTAGAACTCTCAAGAAATCTTTTTTTTTTTCTTTTCTTGCAGAAGGTAAATCCCAAAAGGGTGCAACCTATCCATCGGTTCTTACATATTCATCATCTAAGAGTACAGCTGCCAAAGCAGGCAAGTGTTCATGTGTGATTTCATCGAAAGCTTCTGAGTTTGTAAATATGCGATATTCTGTTTTAGGAGACAGAGCTGAAATTAACATCTTAACCGGACAGGCTCCACTGAGCCCGGTAATATTTTAACAGATGCCAGAAATGAGGGCACAGCTATCAGTGGAATCAGATGGCTGGGGCTGAAGAGTAGGCCTTTAGTTTTTGTTTTCACAATTCTAAGACTGTCTCTGTGTTTCTATCATTTTTATTCACAATTACTGGTGTCTTGAATTTCTGTTATATTATTACTTTAGAAGCTGACCTGACATTCTGTCTGGAAATGTGCCCTGAAAGTTGAAGGGGAAAGGCTGTCTCTACTTAGGTGTGAAATAAAGGGAAGCAAAGAGGATGATGTGGTTTATGTGGCAACAGCAAGTGACTAATCTCAATAGCCTATGCCAAAGATACACTGCCTGTGAGATTGTGCCAGCCCAGCTTCATACAGTCTTCAAAAGGAGTACAGGTAGACCTCAAGCCAGGAAAAACTATGCCTTTATCTGTTTTAAAGTAAGAACTATGCATTATTGTCTTTAGACATAGAAAGACAAGCTGAAAATTGCTTTATAATGGGATTTTGCAATGCTTCCAGAAACTTGATGGAATAGCTGACTTGGTCATGCATCTAAAATGAACATAGTTTAAGAATAGCAGTATAAGTTAGCATTTATAGAAGTTATCATTGCTGTATTCTAGGTATTGTTCTAAAAGCTCTACCTGACTATTGTATTTAATCACCCCAGTACCACGATGTATATTATTAGCTCTACTTTACAGTTTGAGGAAGATGCAGCACAGAGAAGTTTAGTGACTTGCCCTTTGCCACACAGCTAGCAAGTAGCAGACCTGAGACTCAAACTCAGTCTGGCTCTAGCCTCCCCTCTCTACACCATTATCTCTCCTTTCTGATGTTAATACAGTGAATGTAAAGTGTCCTGATTTGAGAGCCTTGACATACAAATAGGAAAAGTTTCTCATTTTTCTCCCAGTTATTGCTCCAATAGATCTTTAATGACTTCTTAATTAGTCCAATATGTGATTGGGAAAGTTCTATGCAATGGCCCACCTGTGGAAACTCAGTGACTCCTCTCCTCATTTACAGCAGAGGTACTTGGGGGCCTCTGACTCTGGCATTGGGCTCAGCCAGAACCCAGACAACAGGCAGGGCCCCCCCACAATCTCCTGTGATCATAGCTATCAAATAGGAAGTGTCTTCTCTGGGTCAGACACCTGGACTAGCTCCAAGGCTGAGTACTTGCCATTCCCATTTTCAGGTAAGGAAGCTGACCCTTGTGAAGGTGCAGTATCTCTCCCGAGGACACCTTTCTAAGCCCTGCCCTGCTCAGACCCTGTTTGCCCTCAAAGCAGCTGAAGTTGGAAGAAAGGAAATCTATTTGGTTTCTAAGTCCTCCACGGTAGAGGTCAATTCTAAAATTCTCTGTCTACCCCAAGCACTGTGACCCCACTTTCTATAACCACCCCCAGCTAGCACTTGTTCCGTATTCCTGACTCTCTGACCTCAGGGAGCTGCGAGGGAGCCAGGGCACCTTTTTGACATTTTTGTTGACACATAAATTTAATTTTTGCAAATACTGTAGTTTAAATATCAGGTGATACAAGCATCATTTATTACAAATATCAATCTTTGGTGATACCATCACCGGGTAGCACTAGCAGCCTTCTGTTATTACAAGATCATCCATAGTGTCAGAGTCTAAAAAACTGTTTAGTCATTCACGTGCCTATTTATTCATTCATTCATTCATTCATTCAACAAACATATATTGAGCACCTTCCATGTACCAGATTCTGAGCTAAACTTGCCCAGTTTCAAGAGAGAGGAACTTCTCTTTCAAAGTTATAATCCCCCCATGGAGTAAGCTTTTACCAATGCAAATGAAAATTCCCAGTGAGAACCATAGAAGGGTAGCCCCTTCATTATTACTCTTTCTCAAATGATAATATTCTTTTAGAAGTTGGAGGAAGCAGAAGAGATGGAGATGAGGACCAGCAGTTTCTAGTGTCCCAGCATGCCCCATAAAATGCTTCCTAATCTCTCCAGGAATGCAAGTTAACAGGTAAATCAGGCTAGGATGACCCCCAAAGGCAGAACAACCTTCTTCCATGGGAAATTATCTCACTCAAAAAATAGAAAGCATCTTGATTTGCCGGTGCAGTTCCTGCTGAGGACAGACATTCCTGAGATTTAAATTCTGTCCCTCCAGGCAGTTAGCAACCACCAACAGGCAACTGTTATTTAGCTACCTCCTCAAGCTATTCTGAGCTAAATAAAAACATGTAAAGTGTTGCTCTGTAGTTCACCAAAAAATGTGAAGGCACCTCGTTGTCCCTACAGCAAGAGAAAGAAACATAAATCCTGGTTGGAGGCTGCTGAGTATCAGGAAAACCCACTCATGGTCCCTTAGACCATTTGCTCCATCCTCTCCCAGAAGAAATCAAGCCAACATTTATTGTGATGAGTTTGACATCCCAAGACACCCCTGCCCTTACTGCCAGTACCCACCAAGTCAGCCCTCTTCCTCTCTTGAGAATAATACTGCTTCTTTCAGAGCTCTAGATACTTCGGGCCAGCCCTGTTGGGACCCACAATCAGGAATCTTGAAGTTTTGGATGGTAGCCTTCCACTTTGCTTCCTGTGCAAAATGGCATGGAATTTGGAATCAAATAAATGTGGGCCTAAATTCTGGCTCTGCTATCTATTGTCTGTTTGAGCTTAGTAATGTTTCTTGGCCTTTTGGAGTCTATTCCTTTTCTTAAAAGTAGGAATACTTGGACCAACTTCCAGGACTGTGATGAACAGAAATGCTTATTTAAAAGAGGCCATGTCCAGGCCTCTATGGACACTCCAGGAATAGATTTCCTGCCCTTATCTATAACTCTAAAGCATATAATGAATTAATGGTGGAAAAAGTCAAATCTCCCCCCATCGCCCTGACTGTAGGCATTGCTGCTACACTGGCTTCAGTATCTGCTCCATGTCACCTTGTTACATGGAGGAAATTTGACACCTACTGAAAGCACTGCTTTTCACTGGGAAAGGGGAAGCATCTGATGGTGACTAGAGTCACCTACTGTCACTCATCAAATGCCTACCATGTGCCAAGCCCTGTGTGTGTCCCTTACAGACACAACCTCCATGACAACCACCTGGCCAAATAGATCTGTCCACCCCCATTTCGCAACAAAGGAAACCAGATGCAGAAAGCTTTAGTGGCCAGACTGCTGAGGGCTGGGGCCAGGAGTTCAGCCTGACCGGACTATGGTTCTCACCTCAAAGTTCCAAGGGTCACCCCAGAGCCAGTGCATCAGAATCTCATGTGTAGGGGCTGGAATCTGCATGTCAACACCTCCACGGTGATCCTAGTGATGAGCCAGGTGGAGGGAGCACCGAGCACCTCCTGCAGCTGTTGAGAAGGGGCTTGTCTAGAACTGTTCCTAACCTTGTCCAAAGAGCACTATGTTAAGAGCCTAAGGGGAGTTTTGGTAAGTTTTCCCTTGAAAAGAGATCAAACTTCCCTGTATCTGAGATTATATGAAGAAGTTATTTTCCTGATCTATTTCAAATGGCTCCAAAAAATGCCTGTCCTGTGAAGAATTCGTGGTCCCCTACAGACTTTGGGTCATATCAAGGACACTGTGTTCAGTAAGGATTTGGGAGCAGCTAGGCAAAGGAATGTTTTCTCTGTCTCCCCTTAAAGTTTTCATCTGTAAATGAGAGCAGGCAGAAGCAATAGCTCATGAAAGACCAGAGAGACGGCTCTATTGGCTGAATTTATGACAAACTCAAAAGCATCTGTGTTCCATGCAAGTAACACAAATGGCCGCCCTCAGGATATTTAATCTGCTCTGTAGCAAATCAATATGAGCAAAGGCAGAGGAGAGGGGGCATTTCAGAAGCCTCAGAGTTAGCCACCAGTGTCAGCAAGAAGATCATTCATATTTTCAATGTCTATAAAGTTAAAGTGACAGAAATGTTTTTTCCTTTGATTTGCAAGTAAAAGTTTCATATTTTAGTTTAATTGCAGTTTAATTAATCATTTGCAGTAAAATGTATGGTCATTTATATATTTTCTCCAAATTAATAATCATATTCTATTTCACAATATATAAATGGTTTTTTGCTTTTTAAAGTAGGTAGGATGGGGGTCTGTATCTGCCTAAAGAGACATTAATGCCTGGTAGCGTTTACCAGAGGGTGAGACAGAAGAGTACTTTAGAGAAATTAGAGACTTCCCTAGGACTTGTCATGAAAGCTCAATTCCTTTCAAGTAATGGAAATGTCATAAATCACGAAGGTTCAGTTTTGTCCAAGGATGGCGTGAAGACTGGCTTAACCACCGAGGCCCCTGCCAGCTCTTTAGCAATTTGTCTGGCACCGTCTACAGGCAGATTTAAAGGCCACCAACTGCAAGCTAGAAACAGAGTAAATGAGGCATTTCCCTCCTGCCCTGACAGGCTAAGGCCTGCCACGCACACGGAATGACCCAGCTCCAGCCAGTTCCAGGGGCTGTTCGCTGACCTGCTCTCCCGGGTCAGTGCAGCAGTTCCCACACTTGATGATGGGGTCAGGGAAGTGACCCGCTGCCAGTGCCTGGGCAATGGGTGGGCACCCCTGCCCCTCATCTGTCTGCAGGGAGGGCCCCAGGCCCTGGTTCTGACACTGTTTCCCTAGCAAGTCACCCAGTGACCAGTGATACTGATTTTGAAGTTTTGGCATCCAGAAGTGTAAGAGAATAAATCCCTGTTGTTTTAAGCCATCAGACTTGTGGTCATTTGTCATAGCAGCCCCAGGAGACTATTATAGATGCACAGGGATAGCGGCACCTGGGGTGCCCTCACCCTACCCTGACACCCTCCCCCCATGGGGTCTGGCAGGCCATGCAACTAGCCACTGTTCCCTCCCAGGGCCAGTGTGATGTCCACTTTGTGGCCACTTCATGTCTCCAACTGGCATGGACCCACAGTTCTCAAGACAACCAGCAATGACCATTGGGTGGGCATGTGTCTCTCTGTCCTCACCCTCCAGAGATATTCCCAGGGCCCAGCAAACTGAGACACCTTCATCACTGGGGAGCTGTCTAGCCATCACATGTGATGTAGAGGACCCTTGGACGTAGAATCTGATGGCCTCACCATCTAGGTAGTTCCCTTGCTCATTTGACAGGTGAGGAAACTAGGGCCCAGAGGAATTAGTTGACTAGTCCTGAAACAACCTAAACTAGAACACATCAAGCAAGTAAAAATGAAAGCCCCCAAAATACCTTCTATCTCCAAGCTAAAGCTAATTGAAACAAACAAAAAAGGTCCATGGTGTCTGGCACATTAATCTTTGTTGCTATTGTTTTGAATTGTCACTTAAACATTGTATTATTATTTAACCTTGAGTTTGTGTACTGCCTTATTGCACCATCCAGATTGTATATTTCTTTAGAGCAGGTGGGTCTCACCCTCCACAGTGGCTAGCACAGGTCTTTGCACAGTTAATGTTCAATAAACATTTATTGTATTGGTCCTGAAGAGCATACTGGCTATTTTGTAAGCACCAGTGATATTTCATTTTCTTGCAGATGAGACCACAAAGGCCTATCAGAAATCAAGTCCAGGGGCAACTGCACAGACTGCCACTCTGACACAGGTACCAGGAACCATGGCAGCTGAGGCCACCAGCACCACCTTGCCAAGACCACCCGCCTCTGCAGGCTTGACCACCAGCAGCCCCAGACCACAGCCCGTGGGCCAAAGGAGCCGGGAGCCAGGTCAGTAGGCAGGCGGTGTTGCATGTGCTAGAAACGTGGGAGACTGGGTTTTCAGAGTAAGAACAGTCAAAGGGTCTGTGTCGTACCCTCACCCTCTTCTGGGCTGGATGAGCATGGGGCATCTGAGATCTGTGGAGGCATCTGTGGTCTCTCCTCCCAGAATCAAGGGGTAAACTGGAGCCCAATAATAATTCAGGACTGGACTAAGAGCTAAGAGCGAAGTAAACTGCGTAGAAGGAGTTTAATACAGATTCAAAAATAGGGCTTCTGGTCTCATAATCGGAAGGCAGGATATCAAATGAAACTTTCCCAATGCAATAGTTCCATTTCTCCAAAAGCAAAGAGGAGGGGACTTTCTGATTCTCTCTGCTGTCAGCTGGTGTGTGCCCGTGTCCCTATCACTCTCAGTTAAACAAGGGTAGGGTGGTCGTGGTGGGGGGGATTAGCTAATGTAGCTCACAAATTATTTTAATGGCATTGGGGACTCTATCTCCTCTCTCCTTCCATGAGTTCATGATTGACCAGAATAATAGTACAGTAGGTTTCTATTGTAAATACCACTGGATTTGGTTTTGTTTGAAGTGACGACCTGTATTCCCCTGGAGGTTTCCAAATACTTGAACCAAACAAACCAAAAGACCCCTTTAGGAGAAGCCAGATAGCAAAAAAATTTGTATTCTCCTTTGGATTGCTTTTGTCTTAGCACTTGTCTCCCTGTCTTGATTCATGTTTTAGGTTTTACCAAAGTCCAGGTCATACAACTGATCTTGGTATTACATCAAACGCAACCTTAAGATTCATACGATAACCCAGTCTCCAGTTTCCACATAGGCCGCGTGTACGCCATCTGTAGTGTCTATCTCATTTCTAAAAGTCTTCTGACAAGGGGGTGGAAAATTCCACCACTGAAGTGCACGATTGTCTCAACAGGTTTCTTCTTAAATATTTTCCACCTTGTGTCACTTTTTCCTTCTGAGAGAAAATGCCCAGAACCTGTTCTCTTCAGCCTCACCTCCACCTTCTAAACATGACTGCACAGTACTGCCCTCCCCCTCCGTAGCAGAGCCCACCTTTTGTTTAACAAATGGGCACTTCCAATGTGCTAAACACTTACAAATATTAGCCCCAGAATCCTCAAAACAGCAAAGTAGAACGTACCCACTGTCCTGATGAGGAAAACAAGGATGATGAGGAAACTGGCCAGGCTGGGGAGTAACACTGGCCAGGCTGGGGAGTAACAGAGACCAGAGGCAAACCCCATAGCTGGACCCTCCTGTGACTCCCCTTTGCAGGAGGCACCTCTGCCAGAAACAACCCCCTCCCCCCCACTCCCAGCAGTGCTCATGAAGCATCACCCCTACAGGGGCCTGATGCAGCTTGATGGGGTGGTGTGGCAAGATAGACGTCTTAGACACAACCAACTCCAGCTATGGTTAATAATAAATGATTGGGCCTCCCTGGTGGTGCAGGCAGTTGAGCGCCACACTGTGAAGCTGTCTGCAGCCTCTGCAGCGCAGGTTCGATCCCGGCCAGCCAGCAAGAATCCCACATGGCACAGCAGACCTCTCCTGTTTGCCCACTGCTCCCCTCAGCAGTGTATTTCGTCAGTCTGCCTGTTCTGTTCCCCACTCTGTCTCTGGTGAATCCTCTCACCCGCCCGCACATCTGGCCTGTACCCCGGTTCTTGTATAAAAATAAAATAAAATCTTAAAAAAAAATGATAACAGGATGCTCACGATCCATACCTTCCCCATGCAGGCCTACTGCACGCATTATTGGGTTTAATCTTCTCTGCAGCTTTATGACATAGGGACTATGATTATTCTGGTCAATCATGAACTCATGGAAGGAGAGAGGAGATAGAGTCCCCAGTGCCATTAAAATAATTTGTGAAGTACATTAGCTAATCCCCACCACCATGACCACCCTACCTTTGTTTAACTGAGAGTGATAGGGACCAGGCACACACCAGCTGACAGCAGGAGAAAATCAGAAAGTAGACTGGGCGCCGGGGGCCCACGGCAACAGTTTCCTCCTTCTTGTCAGGCGTTAGAGCCCTTGATTCTTTCAGGGATTTCTGAGCAGTTGAGTATGGTGCTTGCTCCTGATGTCTCCTGACAGCGCTTCAGTTTTTACATAACACATATAATTAAACATGTGGCACATTTGTTGGGCTACCTGGAAGCTTGGAAATCCTGTTACAAGTTGGGCCTGTGTTTGTGGAAAACCTCAAGCAAGTAGTGGCTTCCAACCTGGCAAAGCTTCATTATTCCTGGCCTGGGGACAAGGGTGTTGGACAGCAGCCTCTCAGCCCCTCAGCGCGCTTTCTTCATCCAAGTCCAGCACCCCATCCGAGCTGACCCACAGAACGCTGGACAGACCCCCAGAGTAGCCCTCCATGCAGCCTGCCCTGCCACAGCTAGCGAGGAGCCAAGAGGGAGAGGAAGGAAGAGGCAGGACTTTGAAAACTTGTATTGCCTACCCAAAGGATTCTCTGTCTGAGTGAAAACTGATGTTTGAATGTCCATGTCTTCTTTTAATAACAACTTTATTGAGAGTCTTTTCTCATAATGTACAACTTACCCATTTAAAGTGCACAATCCAATGGTTTCTGGTTTATTCATTGAGGTGTGCAACTATTACCACAATCAATTCTAGAACATTTTCATCACCCAAAAAGAAACCCCATACCCATTAACAGTCACTCATCATGTCTCCTATACCCCCTACCCCAGTCCTAGGAATCTTACACACCCATAAGTATTTACTTGACAGCTTAGTCCTACTGTATTAAATAATATATAGTATACAGATGACACCTTTATTTCCTGGGATGAGTGGCAAATATTTTGCCAAATATAAGAGAGTGGTCTCCTACTCTGATAGGCAAGTGGGTTGCTGTTATTGAATTTATTACACTTTTATTACACTTTTTTGCCTTCAAGCAAAATCTGATTTATTTACCTATTCAATAAATATTGGCTCAAGTGCCTCTTCTGCACTAGGTACTGCTCTAGGATTTGGGGGCTAACCTCAGTGAACACATCCCACCAAGACCCCTGCAGCAGGTCACTTCAGCTTAAGGTACCTGAGAAGTGTGCAGCTGGAACAGGGGTGACCTGTATCTGAGGTCCATGAGTCCTTCTTGCTCTACAATAAGGTAAAGAGCTGCCTCTCATACTGGAGGGAACCTGGAAGGCATCAGGTAGAGAGCAGCAACTTCATAGCAGGGAAAGACAGGGGCTCTCCCAGCCCATGAAGAGTGGCGGAGGAAGACAGTGCTAGACACCACGGCCAAATCATGGCCCCTTAACTGACCTATGAGCGTGCAAACCTAAGAAGACAGAGGGGAACTAGCCCAGGCGGGGCATAAGCAAGAGCCAGTCAAGAGTTGGAGCACTAGAGACTTCTCACGGGGGACCAAGATCTGATTACAATGGCACTCACAGGAGCCAGGGCACAGGGTTCCCTTCCAGGGCCAGAGAGGGTAGCCTGGAGGACCAGATCCATAGATAATGCTGAGGAAAGGGTCCTCGAAAATCTGGAAAAATCCAGGCCCAGTTGCAAAACCAGCTGAATCTACCACAGGCTTAAAAAAGGTGGAGTGGCTTTGCCCAGCATTATTTTCCTGGCCAGGGTCATTTCAAGACTTGCCATGGTTGTCTCAGCTGATTTAGCAGATTAAATGTGTCCACTAGGAAGCACAGACCAAGGAGGGGAGCAGAGTGCCGCCTAGCGGCAAGGCTGGTGATGGCTGGACTCAGGTGTCTCTACTCTTCTCCTCTGACCCCAGAGCTGAAAGCAGAGTTAAGGGGGGAAACTTGGGACAGGAAGAAGACCAGTCTCTAACCGACCATCCCCTCCATATGCAGTTTCCCCTCTCACCAATATATAGCTCATCTCTGAAAGTTTATCTTCCTTAAAGTGTCTGGAGAGTATTTCTTAAAATTCAGTCTTATAGAGAATAAGAAAAAGACAAAGATGCCCAAACAGAATGAAGAACAATGATGCCTATTGTCACCACTTCTGTTTACTTTAGTATTTTGGCCAAAGCTATCAGACAAAAACAGGAAATAAAGGAACACCAAGACAAAACAGAAGTGAAATGATTCACTGTTAACAGACAATATGATCTATATAGATCCCAAAGACTCCATTCAAAAGTTACTAGAAACAATGATGAATACAGCAGAGTGGCAGCTTACAAAGTTAATATACAGAAATCCATAGCTTTTTTTTATAGTAACAACTAAAAGAAAAATGGATGAAGGTCACGCCAGGCAAGCCATAGTAGAAGAACTATAAAGGGTCAATAAATATAACAAAAGATGTTCACCCTCACCAGGAGTCAAATAAATGCAAACTAGCCAACACAATGTCATTTTTCACCAATTCACATTGGAAATTGATGATACACAGTTTTGACAAGAGTGTGAAAAAAGTACCCAGAATTTACACTTAGAGAAATATGTCTTGAGAGCAGAAAGAAGACTGGGCGTAGATGTTGTTCATAGTAGAAAAATAAATAGGGACAATGTAATTGTCTGTCATAAGAATGGATCAAGAAGTTACTATACAGCAGCTATTAAAATTTTGATGAATATGTGAATTTTCTGACAAGAGAATGGCCTGTAGCAGGTTGTTATAGCAAAGAAGCATGGGTAGAAATCTCTTCTTTGTAATTGTGTGTTGTGTGTGAGAATATGTACATAAAAAAGGAAAACAGGGCCTCCCTGGTGGCGCAAGGGGTGAAGCACTGCACTATGAAGCAAAAACGCAGCCTCTGCAGCACGAGTTCAATCCCCGGCCAGCCAGGGAGAAACCCACATAGCGCAGCAGACCTCCTGTCTCACCCGCTGCTCCCCTCAGTGGTGTATTTCAGTCAGTCTGCCTGTTCTGTTCCCCACTCTGTCTCTGGTGAATCCTCTCACCCCCCCCCCCACATCTCTGGCCTGTACCCCAGTTCATGAATGCATAAATAAATAAATCTTAAAAAAAAAAGAAAGAAAGAAAAGGAAAACAACACTACCTACCAAAATCGTATGCCAGTATCTGCAGGACACAGGGACCGTGGATGATTTCTTGTTATCTATAGTATATATTTTAAGTGAGAGTGTGTGTGCTATAAGGAGAGGGAAAATCAAATCAAGTCATTTGATTTTTGTGCTCAAATGATTGGAACAAAGACAAAGGGAGTGAAAGTTGATTGTGGAGAGATGTGGTTGTAAGAGAAACTGATATTTTCCATACCTCTTCCCTCCATGGAAATTGGTTCTTTTTTTTTTTTAGCTGCTTTTCCCATGGCCTTCTTTTCCCAAAAAGGAATTTTGCTTCTCTCTTTACAGATTCTCCCAACTCCCTCCTCCCTTTCAAAACTTTGCTTCAGAGACATTGACCAATACCTAATGGATGCTGTAGTGTATTTGATTCCCTCATAGAGTAATTAAGGTAACCCATTGTGTATCTTCAAAAGTGACTGAAAGCTAATGCTATTTGCATCAATGCCATGTTAACGCATTTGAAGCAAATTGCTAAATGTTAAGTGACATTTCTATTGAAGGATTACTTTAACCTCCTCAGGAGTGGCACAGCTAAGGAGAATTATTGTAAGAATAATGGCATGCAAAGAAATATGGCACTTTAGTAAAAGACACTTTGACAATTGTGAAATACAAGGGTTATTTCCTGGAATTTTCGGCTGGTGATTTGAGTTAAATCCTTTTTTTTTTTTTTCTTTCCCCATTTCAATGCCCTTCCTAGGCAGGTTCAGACCGCCCCGGGACAAAGCTTTACCTTGGTTCTGACCTTGGTAATGTCTTGTTAGGTTAGAACATGGAAAGAATGAGGACAGTTAGATTAAAATGCATGCTCTGACCAGTCAAATGTTGTTACAGATCCCTGGCCCACCATCACCTACACAAGCCGCCAGAACAAGCCGCACCCCAGTCCAGGTAAGAAACTGAACTCACCTTTGCTAGCTGCTGATGAAAGTTAAGCTTGTTTACATGGGGTCTGTCGTTCCAAATCCTTGCCATTTGACTGAGATTTGGACAGAGAACACTAAACCAGTTTTGTCAACACAAGAAACTGCTCAAAGTCCCAATTGGTAAGGAAACTAGTAAGAAAGATTATAGAGCCCATTAACTAAGCAAAGCCTTCACCCACTACCAGTCCTTTGAGACAATTTTATGGAGATTGTGCTAGAAATTCCTAAGTATTAAGTAATGAGGCTTTTATAAACCTGAAAATGAATATTCTCTGGGGTTTCTGCTTGAGAATCTAGGGTAAAAGAAAAAGAGGAATTTTTTTTATCATTTCCCAGGAAAGGGCAGAGCCAATTTTCACTCAGATACTTCAGTGATAAAGGGGATAGAAATACCTTCTCTCTCCTCCAGGAATTCTCCTCTAAATTAAGATACTCCTTGACTCCCCTTTAATTACTTCTGTATGCATCCGGAAAAGTTTTCCCCCAGAACTGGAACTTGTAGTGCAATGAGGCAAGTTTTTGCTTTTGAGATGCTGTTGAGACTTGCAGAGATTAGAAAGAAAAACCGAGGAGGGTTAAATGCTGTCCACAAACACTACTCAGGGTCTAGTCCAAGAATTGATAAAAGGTCTTGAAGGACACAATTCTCTGTGCAGGCGAGGAGTTCTAGCATCGCCTCTGGCCCTTGGGAGGAGGTGAGTTCAGGCCTTTCCTAGAGGTTGTAGTTTCTGTTTTGCTTTGATACTGGAGCAGAGCAGGACTCGTGGAGAGGTCCCTGGACAGGCCTAGCATCATCCATGAACTTCACAGTTGCACCTTTGCCGAAGTACACACTGTTGTCCTAGACAAAGAGCTTAATAATCAGATCTGTGAGCAGGACGAGGGCCCCAAGGCCGTGTCCCTCCCCTTGTCCCCTTGGCAGGATTTTTGCCTCTTCTGCTGACCCCCATAGTACAGGCAACCACAGAGAGCTTGGCTGACTTCCAAGGAAAATCAGAAATAGAGGTGCTCCATCAGGGCAAAAGGAAGAGAAGGGAGCAGGTTTGCTGGTTGCAGGTAAATCCGCTGACCCTGTGTAAACCCTTCAGGTAGCCAGAGGCAGCGCTCTTCAGGAGCAGCCTTCCAGGAGCCTGCCAGGTAGCACATGTCTGTCATAGATTTATTGTTATTTTAAAATGAATAAAGAGTGGAATAAATTGATAGTTACCATTCTGTTTCAAATAAGAGAACACACCATTTTAATTTCTACTATGATAGAAATCAGCAGATATAGCCCCCCCAAAGAAAAAGTCTTCGGAGTCTTCCATCATTTTTAATGTTACAAAGAGGCTGAAACTCTTTGAGGGTCTCTTGAGTGTGAGAGTCTTTTAAACATATGAAAGTGGCTCCTATGTTCTCTTTTTCCCCCTGTGCCTCCACCTCATAAAGCACTGGAGTCCTGAGGACCACATGTAGCTCCTGCTGGGGCCCTGAGCTGGTGACATCCAGATGTGCAGGGGGCAGAAGGCGCTGTAGCCAGTGAAGGGGTCACCACCAAGTCTCAGGGCAGGGAGGTTTGGGGCTCGAGTTAGTGTGAGTTACAGGACAGTGCCAAGCTCAACTCCTCAGTGGCTTAACCGAGTTCTCTGAGATGCTGAAGTGACAATGACTCCCCATGGGTGATAAACAGATGGTAGTTAAGGGCAGATTTGCACCTGGGCTTCAAGCCCAACTCAGCAGGGTCTCGGCATCAGTTTCTGCACCTGTGAAATGGGGTCATAGTTGTACCTTATGCACAGGTTATCAGGCCTTAGTGCTTATCAATGCTTGGTCAGTGGTTTCTAAATGTTTACCTTGAGATCATTCAGAATCAATACTTCTCTTTATCACTGACATTATCTTGTAGATACATGATCAAGAAAAGATTATTACAAAAATAATTCCCTGATCCACATCATGGAGGAATGGAGAGGTTTGGGGATCACCTTCTCCCCTAAGAACTGCTATCAAAAAATAGTATTTGTTCAAAGGAAGAGCGCACATCCCCTGAGGGAGGCCCAGGACTTTCCCAGGGAGGACTTTCACTAATTTTGGTGGTTTGCTACAGAGGAAGAGAGAGAAGGGGTACATGGGAGCTTGGCCAGGAAAACAGATAACCCAGCTGGCAAACAGGCTGGGGGTAGGTCATCCACAGCCAGGGCGGGTGTGCAGAGCACAGCGGATTTGACCAAAAATTTTGCAGACAGGGAGTGTAGTCATGTGCTTGGGCCTGGATCTGGCTCCTGTTACTGCAAGGTCGAAGGCCCAAACTGACCAGGAAATTGATCATCCCCCTCCTTGAGCTTAGAGAACAAAGAATCTTCAGACAGAGCCTTGTGGAGCTTGGTGGAGAGCCCAATAGCAGAGAGAAGAACTAGTGAGAAAGATTTGGCCACTCCCTTGGAAAGAATCAAGCAAGTACACAAACACAGAGACACAAAGAAATGGAAAGACATCCCATGTTCATGTATTGCAAGAAGAAACAGCATTAAAATGCCATATTACCTAAATCATCTCATGCATGCAATACCTGTCAATATCCCATGACTTTTTCAAGGAAATTGAACGGTTACAAAATTTTGTATGGAGCCACAAAAGGCCCTGAGTAGTTAAAGCAATGCTGAAAGAAAAGAAGAGATACAGAGGTATCACACTCCTAACTTCAAACTATACTACAGAGGAATCAAAAACAGCTTGGTGGGCCTCCCCTGGAGGCGCAGCGGTTGAGTGCTGGGCTACAAAGCTGCCTGCAGCCTCTGCAGCACTGGTTCGATCCCCCGCCACTGGCGCGAGGGTCCCACATGGTGCGTAGACCTCTCCTGCCTTGCCCACTGCTCCCCTCAGCAATGTATTTCATCAGTCTGCCTGTTCTGTTCCCCGCTCTGGCTCTGGTGAATTCTCTCACCCTCCCGTGCTTCTGACTGTACCCAGTGCTTGTATAAATAAATAAATAAATCTTTTTAAAAAATTTAAAAAAAAAGCTTGGTAATGGAACAAACAGAAATACAGACCAATGGAATAGAATAGAAAGCCCGTAGATTACTACGCCCACACAAATATGGACAGTCAATCTTTGACATATGAGCCACAACCATACAATAAAGGAAAGCCTCCTAACAAATGGCCCTGGATGGCCACATGCAAGAAAACGAAACTAGATCCATGATTAACTACATACATTAAACTACATGCATTAAAGACTTGGCTATGAGAGACCCGAAACCATAAAGTACTTAAAAGAAATCATAGGCGATACACCCGTGGATATCAACCTCAGATATTTGGGGATGCAACTTGAAGGGCAAGGGAAAGAAAAGCAAAAACGAACTAGTGGGGCGACATCAAATTGAAAGTTTTTGTACTGCAAAAGAAACCGTCACAAAAACAAAAAGGCAACCCATAGGCTGCAAGAAGATTGCGCATCACACATCTGACAAGGGGCTAATTTCCAACATATGTAAAGGACTTATAAAATCCAACAACAGGGATTTTAAAATCCAACAACAGCCAGGGAGGAGGAGAGAGAGGGATCAGAGGGAGGGAGGAGCACAGGGGACTGAGGTGAGGGGGCACGGGTGCCTTGTGGAAGGAAACGCTATAGGGATGACACCTAAGGGGGTGGAGGGAAGCAAATATTGTTTAAAAATGAAAAATGATGTAAAAAATAAAAAAGTAAATATTAAAAAATAAATAAAAATAAAATAAAATAAACAGATGACCCAATCAAAAATGGGCAAAAGAGAGCCTCCTCGGTGGCACAGCAGTTGAGTGCTGGGTTGCGAGGCTGCCTACAGCCTCAGCCAAGCCGGTTCGATCCCCGGCCGCTGGGCGAGGGTCCCACATGGCACGCAGACCTCTCCTGCCACCCGCTGCTCCCCTCAGCAGTGTACTTCGGTCCTTCTGCCTGCTCTGCTCCCCGCTCTGGCTCTGGTGAATTCTCTCACCCTCCCGCGCTTCTGACTGTACCCAGTGCTTGTATAAATAAATAAATAAATATTTAAAAAAAAAAATGGGCAAAAGAGCTAAATAGACTTTTTCTAAAGAAGATATCCAGATGGTCTACAGACACATGAAACATTGTTCAATGTCATTTATTATAAAGGGATGCAGATCAAAACCACAATGAAATACCACCTCACCCCTATGAGAATGGCCTAGATGTATTTTTTAAAAACACTGGAAACAACAAATGTTGGCAGGGATATGGACAAAAGAAATCTCTCTTCTGCTGCTGGTGGGAATGCAAGAGCCTCTATGGAAAACGGAATGGAGAGGGCCTCCCTCGTGGCCTAGGGGTTAAGCCTCAGCACTGTCACTACTACAGCCTGAGTTCAATCCCTGGTCAGGGAGCTACCCACATAGCACAGCAGGCCTCTCCTCTCTCACCTGCTGTTCCCCTCAGCAGTATATTTCAGTATATCTGTCTGTTCCTGCTCCCCATTATATCTCTGGTGAATCCTCTCACCCCCACCCCACACCTATGGCCTACACCCCAGTTCTTTTATGCAAAAAAAAAAAAAAAAAGGAAAGAAAACAGTATGGAGATTTCCTAAGGAAAAAAAAAAGAGGAAATCCCAGGTGATCCAGTAGTACCTCTGGTAGGTATTTACCCAAAGAATACAAGAACTCTAATACATAGGAGTACTTTTGTACTCCTATGTTCACAGCACCACTGTCCACATTTGCCAAATGATGGATCCAACTTAAAGAAACTGTGGAATATATATTCAATGAAATACTACTCAGCTATTTTAAAAAAATGAAATAGTTCCTTTTGGGACAAAATGCACGAACCTTGATGCGCTTATGCTAAGGTGTTAATAGGAAATAAATCAGAAGGTGAAAGACCGATGTGGGATAGTGTCACCTGAGAAATACAAATAGCCAAAAACCAAATACTGGAAAACTACAGCAAAAGCAAATCTTAGACTTAAGTGAAAATTTACTGGTTACCAGCAGGGACAGAGGAGGGAGCAGGGATAGATGAAGAATGGGGACAGAGCATCGGCCCAGGAAGTTTGCTGGAGGGTGAGTCAAGCATGTGCATATAAGAAGGGGCAAAAAAGTAACCCTAGGGCCTCCCTGGTGGCGCAAGGGGTTAAGACACAACCTATGAAGGTGTCCGCAGCCTCTGCAGCAAGAGTTTGAGCCCCCAGCTGGCCAGGGAGCTACCCACAGGGTGCAGCAGACCTCTCCTGACTCGCCTGCTGCTCCCCTTAGCAGTGTATTTCAGTCAGTCCACCTGTTCTGCTCCCAACTCTGTCTCTGGTGAATCTCACCCCCCACACCTCTGGCCTGTACCCCAGCTCTTGTATGCATAAATAAATAAATTTTTTTTTAAAAAAATGTAACCCTAAAGTTATATAGACATGTAAATAACTGACATTTAATTTTTTAAAAAATCCCCTGTCACTCTCCAAAGCAACTCCATACACATTTACCTCCTTGTCAGGTTAGCGGGTCAAGTCCTCATAGCTCAGCTTTACACAGGAGAAAACTGAGGATCACAGAAAGCAGGTGAGCCCCCCACGCTCCCTGCTTGTGTTTGGTAAACCCAGGACAGGTTCCCTGACTTCTTTTTTCCACACACTACGCTGTAATCCTCAACACCGGAGTACAAGTGTTCTCACAAGTGTACTTTATTACCAATCCAAAAAAACACCAAGTCTCAGCTGTCCAAATATTTTTCAGTCCTGGGCTTTTGGATGAAAGTGATTTGGTTCAAACTTGTCCCAAACAAAATGAAAAGTAGGAGGACAGGCTTCCAGGATGCGAGTAAGAGACGTGGAAAGCCCCGGTGTTAAGGAACTCTTACCTCCTGCGAAGGGAATGGAGAGTCTAGCGCTCTAATTCTTTGTAACATTCAAGGGTGAAGGTCTTGGGCAAAAATAGAAATGTCACCAGGGCACATTTTTTAGGGACAGGGCAAAGTGCATATTTTTACCAGGAGGTGGCGACAGAGTAATAAGGCGAACGGCGCAGAATGTTTAAGCACACAAATCATAAATGTTTTCAACTTGGAGCTCCTCTCACCCAATCTCCTAATATTATTCACAAAGAATTAAGGTTCACAGAGGGTGCTTGACGTGTTCAAGGTCACACACCTGGTTCATGGCTGAGCCGAATGGAGCTCAGATCTCAGCATTAAATCAGAGTGGACAAGAGCACAGACTGCCTTTTAAAATCACCTGGCATTTTAATCATGTGGAAAAAAAAAATAATTTCTTTGGACTGCACTATTAATTCCAGCATGCAGCAGAGATGATGGCTTTTAAAGAAATGATCTAGTTGATTATAACCTTAGCTCTCATCCTTGTGTGCTGGGGCAGGAAGGAGAGGAATGCAGGCAGGAGAAGAGCCATTCTGGCATCCTTCTGAGGCCTCCCAACAGGTTGGTGCTGCCTGTGAGGCCCAGCCCACCATGATTCCCCAAAAGAGGTCAGGGACTATGGGGCAAGAGTCTCCCCTTCCTGATTACCCCTTCTGCTCTTACCTGAGCCAGTGGAGGGCACTAAACATTTGCTGCATGTAGAGTACTAGGTGCCACTTTGTTTGATTCTGCTTAAAGCATGTAGTAAAAAGCGGAGCCTCAGAAGGTAAGAGCACTGCCTGCACCCGCAAGGGGCCAAATGTGTTCTGTGGTATTTTAAGGAAGACAAGGCAAACTGATGGGTGAGATAAATGTACCTAGAAAGATATTGGAAATTTAGTGGGTGCTTATTAAGTGTGGATGGAGGGAGGGATGGATGGATGGATGGACAGACAGATGGATAGACAGATGGACAGGTGGACAGATGGATGGAGGGAGATTTCAGATCAATACAATGAATTTGTTCTCACAGTCTCAGTGGTCCCAGAAGAATGCACTACTCTTGTTGGTTATGTAGTGAGTTCCCTATACCTGGAGGTATTCAAGCACCAACCCAGCAAGGTCTTCACTTGCTCAGGATGCTGAGAAGTATGCAGGGGGATTGGTTTGGATTGAATGAGATTTGGGGTCTCTTTGAATCCCAGGATTCCAACTATTCCACGGTTCTTGGGTACATAGTGAAAGAGAGAAAGGGGCAAAGATGTTTTTGCATTTTTTAAAGGTTTATTTATGTATGCATACAAGAGCTGGGGTACAGGCCAGAGATGTAGAGGGTGAGCAGATTCACCAGAGACGGAGTAGGGAACAGAACAGGCAGACTGACTGAAATACACTGCTGAGGGGAGCAGCGGGTGAGACAGGAGAGGACTGCTGCACCATGTGGGTTGCTCCCTGGCCAGCTGGGGATCGAATTCATGCTGCAGAGGCTGCAGATTGCTTCAGAGTGCAATGCTTAACCCCTTGCATCACCAGGGAGGCCCTCTTTTTGCATTTTCATTTACGTTCTTTAAATGAGAAAATTGCACTAATTTCAGGTTTTCTACTTCCCAATCTGGTCTGAGCTCCTTTACTGAAATGCAGCCAGGACTGGGAAAACTCTCTGGTGGTTCACTGGGCTTCATTTAAGTAACAAATTTGTTTCTTTTTAATTTTGAAAATCAGGGGAGCTGGGCTTGTGGAAACCTGGATGGAATCTTTTTAGATGTGGGAGATTGTAGAGCCTGAGCTCCTGCAGTAACTAGACTGAAGTTCACAGGTTGGCAGAACCAGCAGCGCCTAACAACCTAGCTGGTGGCACCAAGGCCTTTCTAACCAGTCACCTCAGACTTTAGGGCCTGGTGACCAGGCAAAGGGAACAATGAAACTTCCACAGGGCAGTATAGGACAACACTGGGTAACGAGAAGGAAGGGAGGGAGAGAGAAACAGAGAGCCTAGAGTGAGATACCCCAGCTCCAAAAACGGGCTCAGACTCTTATCCCATGTGGCACCAGACTTTTGACTTCCTTCTACTCTCCTTCCTTCTGCAAAGTGGTGTTAGGGTCTTCCCAGCACATGATGAGTCTTGGTGTCTGTTTACTGCATTAAGTCTTTGAAACTCCAACAACAAAGGTGGTTTTTGGTTCTTGGCCTGGGGACAGATTTTACTTGTGGTTGAGAGACCTCTGGCCTGGAATTCCTTCCCCTCCCGAGTTCTCTGGCTGTGAAATGCCCTCCAACACCCAAAGTGAATCTTCTAAACGATGTGAGGAAGTGGGATGAGCAAGCTGGCCTTTAGTGGGAAGATGAAATCATGTGTTTTGCAAATTGGAAAAACGAATGAACCAGGAGAAAGCTCACGGCAGCCAAGAGCGCTGGGCTGGGGGCACCCTCCCAAATGTGGGGAGCCCACTTTTAGGCCTTCTGCAAGCCTGAGACTCACTTCCAGTGCTGCCAGTGTAGCTCTGCCTTTGATGCTCACTGGCCTTATCAAATGTAAAAGGATTTTTTATTTGTTACCTTTATTTCCTTTAATGATGTATTTGTGAATTCAGCTTCCATGTAGAACGGGTGTAACGAGGCAGTGCACACGCATACAACCTCTCAAAAAAACAAAACTCTTTGCATCGTTGCCTCTAGTCCCAGACTGCCAGAGGCGAGGGGCTGTGTTCCTAAACAGTCTTGTGGCTACTTTGCCTATCTCTTCTTCTGGGGTCTACAGGCAGCTCCCATTACATTGTCCCTGGTCTCGTTGGTCTTTGTTCATAGACTCCATGACCACGGACTGAGAACCTGCCTGCGCTGGGCATAGTGAGGATTTTTATGAGGATCTAGACACATGCCCTGACCTCAAGACTTTCCCAATTTTACAGAGGGATAATTCACCCTGCAAAATGCGTAATACTTCCAGATTAGGAAAATAAGGCACAGGTAGAATAAATTAACAGACAGTAGTGGACAGAACCCAGCTCTTTTGACTTCAAATCTCCCTGGATCCCCAGCAGAGTCTGTGCCTTTACTAAGCTATCAGTAAATATTAATTTATTCTTATTTTCTTCATATGGGGGTGGTGTGGAGAAGAGGCGAGTTAACAGTAAGCCAAGTCCCCTGAACTAGGTGTGAAGATCCATTATGTTCCCATCCCTAGGGTAAGGCCAGATGCTTCCTGTTCTTCCAAGTCACCAAAAGTTTTACTGCTCTTTCCAGGATTTGTTCCAAAAGAAGAATTAAGCACAGAGTCTTTGGAGCCAGTATCCCAGGGAGACCCAAGTAAGTTAATTGACAACTAGAATCCCTAGAGACTTTGACATCTGATCTGCTCTCTCTCCTCTCTACCCACTCACTCCTACCCAAATCCGCCTCTCTTCTACCCGGAATCTATTTATCTCCTCTCTACTGTCACTTTGTCTAAGGGAAAGGGGAAGCTTTTGAAGGATTTAAACTGTCTTTGTTCATGAGGGGGAGAGGATCTGATTTTTAAAGCATCACTATGGCAACAGGGTGAAGAATGGGATGTAATGGGGAGAGAAGGTGGATAAAAAGAGACAAGTTGGCCGGCAGGGACAGTGAGCCGGTAGAGAGGGTGATAAATTGAGCTCAGAGCTGGACATAGAAATGGAGAAAAATTGTTCAAGAGATAGAAAAGGAAGAATCTGGAAAGTTGGTGGCACAGGTGTATGAGAGGAAGTACTTAAAAGATGACTTGAACAGTTGGATAAATGGTGATGGAGCAGGTTGGGACAGGGAGAGTGTTTATGTCTATCCTATTCTGTAAAACACTACTGGAGAGTTGATTATCCAGAGTATGAACATTCAGAAGAAGCAGCCAGCTGAAAATTTAGAATCAGAAGATGATGAGGTATGGTTGGAAACCAAAGCTACCAGGAAATGTGACCTACAGAGCAGGACAGAATAAGAAGAAACAGAGGACATATACTTGAAGAGCTTCCACCCTCCGAGGTGGAGGGGAAATCCCCTGAGGATACCAGAAAGGAGGACCAAAGAAATAGAGAATAACCAGGAGGGAGTTGTGTGCTACAAGCCAACATCCCTCTACGTCAGTCACCACCGGCTGTGAGTCTCAACCCAGTATGTGAGGGTCATCTGAAGAGATTCTTTTTTATTAAAGTTGGCAGTTCCTGCCTCATATCCACTGCATGGCCCTCCCTGGATCTTGCTACTCAAAGTGCATTATGAGGTCCAGCAACATCAGCATTATCTCAGCATTATCTGAGAGTGTGTTAGAAATGCAGAATCTCACCCCTGCCCCACAGACTCTCACCCCTGCCCCACAGACTCTCACCCCTGCCCAGCAGAATCAAGTGATGCTTTGTATATTAACACATGAAAGCACAGCCTGGAGTGATTCCCAGGCATCTTTATTTGTTGACACTGCATAAGCAACTGTGATATATGTCCAGTTACTCTTGGATCTTGGACAAAACAAAGCATTACTCTATAAAACTGTACCATGTTGAAGAAAACCAAAACAATTATGAAAAGTGGTAAAATGGTACAGTAGACACTATAGCTCACCTTTTCTTCCTCATCCTCCAACTTGCATTCTCTGTGAACATAAGTCGCTCATGCTGAACATTTCATTACCCAGTTCTATTCTTCAATATTGATGTTTTCATCTCAAATGAAAGTCACTAGATCTCACTGAGTCCATGTCTTGAGCCAGAACCATTGTCGTTAAAACATTCTAGGGAGGGCCTCCCTGGTGGCGCAAGGGGTTAAGCACTGCATTGTGAAGCAATCCGCAGCCTCTGCAGCACGAGTTCAATCCCCAGCCCCCAGCCGGCCGGGGAGAAAGCCACATGGCGAGGCAGACCTCTCCTGCCTTGTCTGTAGCTCCCCTCAGCAGTGTATTTCAGTCAGTCTGCTGTTCTGCTTCCCACTCTGTCTCTGGTGGATCCTCTCACCTCCCCCCCCCGCCCCGCATCTCTGGCCTGTACCCCAGCTCTTGCATGCATAAATAAATAAATCTTAAAAAAAAAAATAAAACATTCTGGGGTAAAGCAAGAGCAAAAATGGCCCAGATACCAGCCAACAGGCTGAGTGAAAACAACTAAGCAAATAGAGAAACATCTTACCCTCTTAAAACCTAGCTATGAAAGTATCACATCAATCCAGTTTGAGATAGAAGAAATGAGAAAAACAAAGTCTATAAAGAGCCAAAAGTGAGGCTACAAAAGCCATGTACTTTATTCATTCATAAAGAAAATCTTTGGCCGTTATTCCAATGAAGAGTTATTTCCCCCCAATTAATCTAAAAAGCGTATTATATTGAATGAATCTACTGTCATCTAGAAGGAAAAGCCCTCTTCAGGAATGGTTTCTTAAACTTCAGTGTGCACGGGAGTCACCTGAAGATCTTGTGAAAGGTGGATCTGATACTACAGGTGTGGGTGAAGCCTGGGAGTCGGCATTTCTAGCAAATATGTAGATACCTGTGGGCCGCAAGCCCTAAAGAACACTACTGCCACCTGCTGTCAACAATACATATTGCAAGCCCAGACCTAGGAAAGAAGTTGGCCCTGTTCGGCGCGCAACATGACAAGACATAGGAAAATTCTGCATCTCTCTTGATTTATTCCAGCTTTTAGTGGCATCTCTAAACTACACTTGATTTCACTTGTGCCTTCCAATCTTCATCTCGAGGATCATCCTCGGACATAGGCAGTTTGGGGGCAGCAAATAAGAGGGATACCAACTGAGCAGGGAGAGTTGGCAAGCACTGAATGTCTAACCAGACCAGAGATAATTGCTTGCAAGACCCACTAATGAGCCAAAGCACAAACCAGTACCCTAATTCCAAATGGAACAGACAGCCCAGTCCAGGGAAGGCCCTGTCCTCACCTGCTTCTACCCTGGTTCCCAGAGCCATGCCCTGCTATAAGATCATAAAACACATACTTAAAGCTGACTTTTCTCCTTAATCTTCCAGTTCTGCATTATCAGCCTTTAATAATTCTCCAGCTTAAAACTGTGCCAACTCATGTCTATTTCTTGCTTTCACCTAAAAACAAATCCCTTCCTGCCTACAGAGCTTCTCCTGACAATTGAAATATTCTAATATTCTAGTCATGCAGAGGCAACACAGCAGGCAATGTGGAGAACAGATGCCAGCCAGCCATCTCTGGGGCAATCATGGCAGTTTAGAGCAATCCAGGCTTGTCTGGGCAGTTGTACCCCACCCACCAAGGGCAGCCACTGACCCTCATCTTCTCTGGGTGCTCCAGAAATTCCTAACTTTACTGTCTCTCTTTTTTTTTTTTTTCATGCAACTGTGTTTTGAAATATTTTTGTCCTTGCAGTTGTTCAATAATTCATTCCTCATTTTTGATTCATCAAAGGAGTATATACCTTCCAATAAGAACTTCTGGTCAGCATTGAATAATCAGTTTTATCACATTGAGATGATATTAATTTCAGTCTAGAGCAAAGAGTATTAACTTCTATTAGCCTATGTGGCTTTCCACCAATTACCAATAACATTTGAAAGGTTGGTGATAACTTGCCATACCATCCTATTCCCCCAAATCCATCATAACTTTCCTATAGTTACAGCTCCAGAGATCCTAATCAGAACAACTAGATAGTCCTAGATTTTGCCCATAAGTAAAAGAAAGGGGAAAATCTCAGATAGCTTCAAACAAACCTTTATATCCTGTAGAGATAAGTGGACCATTTCTTTGGTTGCCTCATCAGGGAAGCGAAGAAGATTGATATCAATTTCTCATTCCACAATTGTGCCCTCCCCACAGCACAGGCTTTTCCAATTCTTTCACATATGTACAAAGAACCAATACATAAGTCTAAATAGTTATGATGAGAGTAAAAGACCCCAAATTCTTAAGATTCAATCTTAGTGGATTCCCCCATCTGAAGTCTGCACTTCTATGATCTCAGGGCTTTCCCAAACATACCGGGAGGTCACTGCCTCTGAAGCCCACAATTGTGGCTGGTACAGGAGTAGTAAAATAGCTCTGGAGGTAAGTAATTGCTCAGGTGCTCAGGACCTCAGTGCCCAATGAAAATCCATTATGGATATAAATAAGTGAATATACCCAGCATCTTGCTACTTCCTCTTACTTTCTTTTCATTGGTATCTCAGGGGGCTCTCAGGTGAATACAAGGAGAGATAACCAGAATAACAGAGTTCTTTTCCATTTCTCAGACTGTAAAGTTGACCTGTCATTTTTAATTGATGGGAGCTCAAGCATTGGCAAACGTCGGTTCCGAATCCAGAAGCAGTTTCTGGTAGATGTTGCCCAAGCTCTGGACATCGGCCCTGCAGGCCCACTGATGGGTGTGGTTCAGTATGGGTAAGTGCCGTTCTGAATCCAGAAACCAAGTGATGTCACACTCTTAGTTTTGCACCACAAATAAAACTAACGTATCTTAGAGCACAAGTGCATTCTTCTTTTTATTACCAATATAAATGAAAGAAACTGAAGCAGTCCAGATGCCATTGAAGAAATCTGAGCCTTCCAGAAGGAAAGAAAGGTTAATAAAATCTTGCAAGTAAATGGCATTTACATTCATGATTTGTAAAGAAAATATTTAGTGATTAGGAGAGCTGGGTTCAAGTCTAAACTTAGTCACTATGAGCTATGTGACCTTGGGTCAGGCCTTCACCTTGCTCCTTGTTGGCTTCCTCATTTGTAGATCAAGAAGGTAGGTTAATTTTTGTGTAAGGTGTTAGACAACGGTCTAGTTTCATCCTTTTGCATGTGGCTGTCCAGTTTTCCCAGCATCATTAATTGAAGACTTTCCTTATTCCATTGTATGTTCTTAGCTCCTTAGTCATAAATTAATTGTTCATATATGTGTGGGTTTATTTCTGGGACCTCAATTCTATCCCATTGATGTGTGTTTTAGTCCAATACCACACAGTTTTGAGTACTGACACTTTGTAATATAGCTTGAAGTCAGGAGTGTGGTACCTCCATTTTTGTTCTTTTTTTTCTTCTCAGGATTGTTTTGGCTGCTCTTGTTCTTTTATAATTGCAATTAAAACCTAGATTTTTTTTTTGTTCTATTGCTGTGAAGAATGTCATTGAAATTTTGATAAACTATAATCCCAAATTAGTAGTTATCAGAAGGGAGAAGATTAGGGAGGACTTATCAGGTGAAAAGAATAAATTGTATGGTTAAGGATGGAATTAGAATTTTAGTGATGAATCTAATGTAGTATATATATGTTGATTTATAATTATGTAAATTTTTAATCTGTATATTATAAACCAGTGTTACTTCAATGAAAATAATATTGGGGAGGGGGGAGAATGTCATCATGATTTAAAATTCTTTTTTAAAAGGCAGATCCCTTTAGGCCTCCCTGGGGGCGCAGTGGGTTGAACATAGCGCTGTGAAGCTGTCCTCAGCCTCTGCAGTGCAGTTCGATTCCCTGCCGGCCAGGGAGATTCCCACATGGCACAGCAGACCTCTCCTGTCACGCTTGCTGCTCCCCTCAGCAGTGTATTTCATCAGTCTGCCTGTTCTGCTCCCCGCTCTGTCTCTGGTGAATCCTCTCACCCTCCTGCACCTCTGGCCTGTTCCCAAGCTCTTGTATAAAAATAAATAAAAATATTAAAAAAGGCAGGTCCCTTTTACCTCTGACACCTTAATGAGCATCTGTTAGAGGAGCATCCTGTGCTCCCTCCTATTCTTCTATGGGGAAGACACCTGGAGAATGCAGTGCTTTAGGCTGAACTTTCTCTTTCCTCTGGATTACCTTAGGCCTCTGCACAGGTACTAAAAAAGGTCATCAGTCAATGGAGATAGTGGGGGTGGAAGGCATCAGTCAGCTGCACTCCCAGGTGCTGTCCCAGACTGTTTCATTATTTTACTAAAGGTAGAAATTAAGGGCTCATGTTGACATCCAATCTGTATCTTCTTTTATTTGGTTAAATAAATCAATCTTATTGCAATTATGAATAGGTTTCTCCCTACTGACAGCTATCAAAGAAGCAAGCAAGCACAAATCTTGAAAAATAGGTGGAATTTTGACCAAAAGCCATACAGGGCAGGATAATTTTCTCTCTTTCCACAAAGGACCTTCAGATACATGACTCTTCCTGCAGTGCAGCTCTGCAGCTTAGCCCTGGAAATGGAGCAATAACACAGACCTGGGTGCTTCTCTCTCAGAAGCCACAGTCAAAGCTTATTGCCCCTCCTGGAAAGTAAAAACGTTCATACCTGCCAACATCCAGCGAGTTCTCTAGATCCTTCGAACATTTCCCAAGACCTCCTGGAGCAGCATTTTAACTGAAGTTGCATATCGAAGACACTAGGATATTTTTGAGCTGTCAAAAGAAATAATCAAAAATGCTTTATGTTCATAAGAACATACAACATTTTTATTTTTAGCATTAAATTCCATAACACATTTAGGACAACTATTCCCATAAAGGAAAATCAGCAGATGAGTTAACTGCCTCTTCTATGTAGTCAGAGTCCAATATATGAAAACAAACAGTTGCTGCTGGTGCCAGCCCCCAGTGTCAAATGATCGAAGGATTTTAACTTAAAATAGGAAAATAATTTATTTTGGCAATTGCTTCCTTGTTTTCAAAATGCCAACCTGTCTTCATTCCACTGTTACTTTTTAAAGATTGCAGATAGATAACAGGCCCCATCCACAGAGGATATATAAGCTTTCTAGTGCCAGATGTCCCCTGTCCATTTTATTGGGGAGTTCAAAGCTTGGTATGTCATCTTGCATTAAAAATAGCTGCTTTAGGGCCTCCCTGGTGGCATAACGGGTTAAGCACCACACTAGGAAGCAATCCTCAGCTTCTGCAGCACAAGTTCGAACCTGGCCCACCAGGGAGCAACCCAGATGGTGCAGCAGACCTCTCCTGCAGCACCTGCTGCTCCCCTCAGCAGTGTATTTCAGTCAATCTGCCTGTTCTGCTCCCTGCTCTGTCTCTGGTGAATCCTGTCACCCCACCCTCTGCCCCCGCATATCTCTGGTCTGTACGCCAGCTCTTGTATGCATAAATAAATAAATCTTTTAAAAAAAAAAAAGCTCTAAAAAATAGCTGCTTTAAAAGCTGTGTATACCAAGCTTTATAATATAATTTGAACACAGGGTGATTACTATGTCAGAAAAAAAGAAAAACGGCAGGAGTATAGAGCTGTGTGCTGATGAGTATGTGGATAACAAAAATGTAGCAAGGAAGGAAAAAAATCCAATAAAGACTCCGTCCCCTTCAAAAATCATTTCCCGCACATTTTCCTCATGTGATCACCTTTTGCAGTAAGGGATTCACCTCCATGACTTCCAATTTCACTTTCTGAAAATGCCTTTGCTTTTCGTCTTTTTTTCCACTCAGGATCCTCACTAATTTGGAGCATGTAAGGGAAATGTGTGTCTGTTTCCCTGTACCGTGTGCTCGTGCAAGCTAATCCATCATCCTCACCCTCGCTGGGCACAGGGTGGAGTAGAAAGCACAATGAACTGGTGACAGAATACCTTGAGTTCAGGCTTTAGCTTTGCTGTGTGACCTTAAGCAAGTCACTTAACCTCTCCGTGTAAATGCTGCCATCTAGAAAGGGTGAGAAGCGGGCCGGATGATTTATTAGAGCTCTGCCAGCCCTGATGTCCTGTAATTCAGTGGCTCGTTTCGTGCTGCAAAGATATCCAATAAATGAAAGTTGGGCTAACAGACCAGATGAGCCACCTCTCCCGTCCTTCCAGCCTCGGGTTCTGATTAGCTGGGATGATCAATAATGAAATCATTGGGTTGACTGAGGTGATACAGCCACTGCTGCGGGAAGCAAGTCAATTGGAGCACGGCATTAGGAATGTGTGATGAGGCCGAAGGGGAAATCTATGTCCCAAGCTGAAATTGCCTTTGATTCCAGTCGCCTGGCTTCCTTGGTTGGGTGGCTGCTTTAATCCTGCCTTTACCAAGCGGCGTCAGTGCATATGGATTAAAGAAGAGGGAGCAAGTGGGACAGGAGAGAGTAAGGAGGCCGAGGGAGCTGTGTCTGCAAAGGGAAAGCCAGAGGGCCATTTAGGAACCTGATTCCCTGAGTGGTTTCCGGTTCTCCCCACAGTCTGAGGCTCACTTTGGGAGCACAGGGAACGCTCTGGAATCACAGCCACCTGGGCCCTAGAAAGCACCTGGACGCCTCCTCCCATGTGCATGAGAAAATGAGCACTAAAGGGAATAACCACCCTGGTGAGACAGCACTGGGAAGCAAGGCTGAGGTCGGGAAGCAGCCCCCCGACACTGGAGGATGCCAGAGCTCAGAGGGCGCCTCCTCTTGGGCCTCCATCTCCATCACAACTGCCGCTGGTCCAGCCCGCTCCCCTGAAGGTCCCTTCCTTTACCTTCATTTTCCTTAAGAGAAATGCATCAGAATTTAGACTTTCAATTTTAGAATTTAAAGACCACTCACAATAAAAAGCAAATAGGAAATAAAAGCACGAGAAGTATGAAAGTTGTCTTGTTTACAAGATGCAGAGCTCATTCTGCATCCTGATTCCCAAGTAACTTAAACAAATCTGTTGGGTGTAAGAAACAAAACCAGTCCTGGGAGCCAGGTGAAGCGGGTTTACGTCACAGCTCTGACAATTCTATGGTCATTCCCTGCCTCCCCATCATTGCTATGTCTCTTGTCTTGTCCGTTTGTTTCATTGTCCTGTCAGCAGACCGAGACCACCTTCTTAGGCTCTTGGCTTCTGCTCCTTGCACGGGCTGTTCCTGCTTCTGGTCCAGGCAGGGAGAGGGTCCTCATCCGCTGTGGTCATCTTGCCCATGGTCCCTCACCCCTGCACATGCCAAGGCTCCTACCCCTTCATTCCATTAACCTTTCAGCAATGACTCTCTTCAATCTGTCACATCCTCTTGAGTCTTAGCAAAGTGAGGGGGAGGGACTGGGGCACAAGACAGACCCAGATGGAGCCCAGGCGATGTGAATCGCAGCACCAGAGGACTCTGAAGGGACTGCAGGGACCTGACTTCACACTGGTGTTACCAGGAAAGCTTTGAAAAATGCTAATGCCCGGGCCTCACCCCAGAACTATTAGACCAGAACCTGGCAGATTCCAGGAATTTGGTGCCTTATTCTGTAATTCCAATCTGTAGTCAGGGTTGAGAATCACCAACTCCCCGAGATGGGATGGGACAGCAGGGCTTCCCAGGTAGAGTGGCAAGACCTTCAGAGACACAGAGTCTCCACTCCTGCCCACGCACTTTTCACCCCTCAGTGGGTATTGCCTTCACAGGAGCCACAGGACCCCAGAACAGCTGCACTCAGCTGCCCAGGAGGCCTCTCCAGGTCCTACTGGCACTTGCAAAGACCCCACTGTGCCACTTGTCCTCTCTGGGAGACAAGCCACTGAGTGCCTGCACCAGTCTTTAGGGACACAGTCTCAAGGCTGATGAGCCGTGAATACAGTTTGCACAAGAACCTGAGGCTTTTACTATGTCCTACCATGATTTCCCCCAAGAAGTGCAGATAAAACTGGGTCTACACTTGACTTCCGCAGTTTCTACTCAATGATTCCCTTTAAACTCCCATCACACTTTGACAGGGTTTATCCTGGGGTCTCTCTGAGACCACACTCGCTAGCTCCCTAGATTATTCTGCCAGAGAAGCACATTGTCACCCTAGATATATTGGAAACACCTGGGGAACTTCTGAAAATCCCAGTGCCCAGATCAAACCTCAGACCAATTAAACCAGAATCTGAGTGTGGGACCCGGGCATCAGTAATGTTTAGAGCTCCTCGGTGACTCTTCTGTGCAAGCAGAGAGTGAAGGCACTGATATTCCCATGGCCTGTGCGGTCCTTTGGTGAATCCTGTGTCCTCCAGTCCCATCTCCCCACCAACCCCTGTCATTTCTCAGCCTTTCTTTTCACTTCTCCAGACTTCTAATTTACTCTCCTTCCTCCTCTCATCTCTGGCAGTCCCTCTGCCATTTTTTTTTTTCCAATTCTTGGAGCATCCTCTAAAATATTGCTACTCCAAGCATGATCCACAGTATCATCTGGGAGGTGGCTAGAAATCAGAACCTCAGACCCCACTACAGAATCAGAATCCACATTATAAACAAGATGCCAGGTGCACCGACGCATGTCTGAGTTTGGAGAGCCTGGGGAAGGGGGACCTGCTCTTATGCAGCCCAGTGACCGGGGAAGCCCTGGTGCCTGAGAGTAACAGGATCGGCAGGCTGCTGCTGGTCCATCCCGGCAGGGAGAGGCATGCAGCTTAACTTGCTACTTTTTGGCTTATGGGCAGAATTATTGATGCTAATTATAAAACCAATAAATTATTGATAATAATTATAAAGCATCATCTAAAAAAGGGTAATTTTATTTTAAGGGCCTGATGCCTGGTCTCTGATCCTAGGAAATATGAGAAATCTGTCCTTTCTAAAGGAGTTCTTTGCACAAAGTCCTTCAATAAGTTGACTCAGGACAGCAGGTTGGCCATTAGCTGCCGGGCCCTCAGGGGGACTAGGGGCAGAGGCCTTTTCATTCTCAGACAGGCAATGCTCTCAAGGGATGAGTCGCCACCAAACCTGTAGCTGCCATGTGTCCTCAGCAATCGGGGATGGAGTCACCTAGAATGTGGGGTTTACAGGCACAGCTCATCTCGGCGACTACGTCCACAAATCATCCCATTATAGTCATTAAGAAAATTAAAAGGTTCTCTCTTTTTGAACCTGGCTGAGCCAGATGCACCATCCTGGGTGTTGACATCTGCCACAAGGCTGGAAAGAAAGGTTCCAGGCAAGGAGCCCAAAAGCCAGAACTTTTACCTGAGGCTGTTGGTCAAGCTGAGCAGGTTTCTGGCCAGGTGAACCAACTCCACCTTCAACCACGTAATGCTGAGAAGTTTGATGATGAATGGAACCAACAGGCTACTTCTGTCTCTCACCGATGATCCGGAAGATGAAGCTCTTTGGTTGGGAAGGCAAAACAGCCCTGGCTGTTAAGACTAACAGATAATGTGTGTGGCTGGGAGGAGCCGGAACTGAAGGTGTGTGCCTTGAGGGCAGGCAGCTCCTCAAGGCAGTGGGGGCAAGACCCTCCCCTTCGAATAGCTGGCCCCCAGGGGCTGTGGCCCAAATCTGCTCTCCCATCTGACTGACAGGGGGCACAGGCATTTCAGCAGCCCTCCCCCACTCTGCCACCCATGCCCATGTGTAGGGTAAGGTAAAAGGTATCAGGCTTTTCTGCCCTCCCGCCATCAGGATGAGGGAACCCTGTGATCCTGAATGCATGCCTGATGGCGGGCACCTGAAGTGGGTACACCTGGGCTAAGACTGTGCTTTTAAGGGCGGCATCACAGGGACGCCAAAAGCCGAGAAAGCCGCAGCAGAAGCCGAAAGAGAAGCTGAGAGAGAAGCAGAGCCATAGAAAGAAGCAGAGAACGCCAGAGAGCCCAGATAGAGTGAAGATTTGCTGGGGGCTGGGAGGACTGCCAGCCCCCCCCCCCAGCCCCCCTGCCTGCCACGTACCCGCTGAATCCCAATAAAAACCTGCAAAAAACCACTGAGGACTCTGACTCCTCCTTTACCCGGTCTGCATGGGATCAGAAAACCTGCCGGTTCGATCCCCGGCTGCTCCCCGGCCACCAGAGGAGGGTCCCACATGGCGTGCAGACCTCTCCTGCCACCCGCTGCTCCCCTCAGCAGTGTACTTCGGTCCTTCTGCCTGCTCTGCTCCCCGCTCTGGCTCTGGTGAATTCTCTCACCCTCCCACGCTTCTGACTGTACCCAGTGCATGTATCAAACAAACAAACAAACAATAAATAAATAAATAAGACATGCCTCTAGAAAATTAAAAAAAAAAAAAACAAAAAAAAAAAAAAAAAAAAACCTGCCCTGTGTCCATTCCTGCCCCCACACCATGTGTCTTCAAGCTCTGGAAAGTGGAGCTCCCACAGGTCAACCAGACAATTGCAGCTACAGAAAACTAACCCTGCATCCTGTCCTGTTATTAAAGGACTTGGGATGCTGGGGAAAAAATTAAAAGACTAAATAAAGTCAAATTGTTTTATCGTAGCCTTAAGTTGATACCTTGTTGGAATAGTTTAAAAGGTTCTTGTTGTAGGGAAGATTAGATTAGTTAGTATGGCTCCACTGGCATAAAAATTCATTTCAGAGACTCGCTGCATGTGACCGAAAGTATTGTGAGGTAAAGCAAAGAAAGACTCTGGGGCTGAAAGGGCCTTTGAAGTCTTCTAGAACCCAACACCTCCCAAGCATTCCTGAGAATAAGAATCACCTGAATCCCTTATTTAGCCAAGTCCCACACACAGCCCAGATCTAGAGTGGAGTTTCTTCCAGGAGGAGACTGATAGAATTTAACAAGGGCTTCAGGTGAGTCTTGTCATCAGGGAACTGAAGGCACGGGCCATCCACCCCACGCCCTCCCCACAAGCCTCCAGCCTCCCTAGGAATCACCTGTGTCCATTTCTGACCAGTGCTCTTTCTTCTTAAACACTTACAGGGCAGTCATTTCCTATTGCACAAATTATTCCTTTCTATGTGCAAATTCAGCTTCCAAATGATTTTTATTTTAAAGCTCTGTATTTCCTTTTCTTATTTTCAAAGGAAATCTTTGATATTGCTAAGAAAAAAAATGTGTTTCCTGTTTCCCTATAATGAAATCTTGTAATAAAATTACAAACAGAGAAGGTTACTTATGTAAAGATAGTGACTTACCTGTTTGGACTTTTTTTTTTGCATTCAGAAATTACTATATAATTAATACTTCAATTAAAAAAAACAACCACTTAGACATTTTTCTTTTGAATAATTGCCATTATTAATCAATTATCCAAATTGTGATCAAAACAGAATAATTTTATCAATTTATATAATAATGTGGGCACATATATTCTGTGAGTTTTCGTGTTTCTATTTTTACTTTTACTTTTTTTTATAGTAATTCCATGAGAATTATTTACTGGATTACTTATAGTCTACTAGTACTCTTCTAGGCAACAGATTTTTTTATTTTATTTTATATATTTTTACATCATTTTTGCGCAATGTATGCATTTTCATCTTGGTTATAGTCCCCATACAATTCCCACCACCCTTGTTTTGATCCTACTCCCTTCTCCCCCCGCTGTAGTGTCTCTGGTTTATAGTTACTTGTTGATTTTGATTTTTACTTTATTATAATTAGTCCTTTTCTTCGTCCCTTACTTAGGTTTTCTAAATTCCTGCTGTTCGGATTTTTTAAATAGTCTCAATCTCTGAAAAGACACCAGGCTGGGCCACCAGTCAAATCCTGTTTATTGGAGTGTTCATTGCACCTGGGCTGCAAGTTCTGTAGGAATCTTTATTATACTCATTTGCTCAATAATATATTTTTCCATTAATATAGGACACATCCCATGTGCTCTGGCATCAAGAGCAGCCACAGTCTACATGAAAGACTTATCATTGCCTCCTAGGGCTTAATTACATTACAATTAGCAAGGAGTTATTAAGAGTCGGTCATGTGCTCAGCACTGTGCCATTTGCAGGATACGGATGTAAAATTCCTCTGACTGGTTGGATTATCTGTCTAAGTCACTTAGTGGATGAGCTCTGTGGTTTCACTACTAATCATCGTTTTAGCAATAGATCAGGAGAGAGAAACTGAAAGTCCAAATTTGAGGATGGAAAGGATGGAAGAGAGGCCAGAGATGTTTAAGAGGTAGGTCTAGCAGGACGTGGCATGTGATGAAGATGTCAAAATGTTATAGAGCAGCCCCGATATTGAACGGGTTCCTGGCTGTGGGTCCTCACCAGCGCGCTTACAAGGGACTTATGAATACTCCACTACAGGCACACACAAAAGGTTAATAAAAGGTTTATTTACAAGGGAAAAGGAAATAAGGAAAATGTACAACTCAGGGAGAAAATAGGGAAATAAAGTCTTTAATGCGTCCCACCCGATCCGCCGACCTAGAAACCCAAAGGCACTCTCAGAGCTGGCCGGACGTTGCGAGCTGGCGGAGAGCCAAAATGGGGGACCCCCAAAGCCCACGTGTCTGCCTTTTATATCCACCTGGCTGCTTAACCCCACCCTCGGGTCCCAGCTACCTTCCCTTTGGTGGTGATGGGATTTGGAGTTCCCAGTGTCTTTGGCTTTGACCTGGGGTGGGGGTGGAGTCCACAAAGCCTGTATGGAATTAGCTTTAGGACATCCTTTTCCCCCTAACAAAAAGAAGGCTTCTGCAAGGGTGACTCTGTGAGTCAGAAGAGGGAAGGCAGTTTTTTAACATGGGCCATTCTCCCCATGTGAGGTGGTATCTCACTGTGGTTTTGATTTGCATTTCCCTGAATATAAGTGATGTTGAAAAAAAAAATGATCAGACAAACCATAGATCTGAGGCCTCTGGCAGGAGAGCGGGAGGAGAGGGATCAAAATGGAGGGAAGAGCACAAGGGACTATGGTGACAGTCACGGGTGCTCTGGTGGTGGCAGAATTATGGGGACTATACATGAGTGGAGAAATCAAAATGATGTAAGAAAATTAATTTTAAAGAGAAGAGGGAAGACAGAGGGATGTTTGTGGTTGAGTGGAACAGGTTTGGAAGATAAATTACTGCCTGGAGCAATATCAAACCCTGGGTGCCTGCAGAGCACCCCCAGGTACCACAGAGCACATCCCAGATGGAAATGTATGGAAGTCGTTTTATGTCTATCTGGGGCTCCAGGGAGCATATTGACACATGAAATGTTGCTGACCCCCAAATTGCTGTAGTTGATGAGATCTCCCAGGAAGTGCATGAACTGAGAAGGGGTGCATGATGGAGGTCGCACCTGGGGAACAGCAGCGTCTGAGATTCACAGAAGAAAAATGTAGAGATACTTGTTTCCTCAATGGTGTCAGCTGAGTGCCTGCGGAAGCCACATACGGCGAGAGGAGCTGTGCATCAGAGAAGGCTGAGTCAGGCACACAGTGTGTCAGTGGAACCAGGGCTAAGGGACAGAGGTAGCTGGAGCAGGTGGGGACAATTTGGATTTTCCAGCAGAGGGAAAGATGGGTTATGAAACAAAGCTAGAAAAACAGAAAATAGCCCCTCATTCTGACACTAGGTAGGGGGAGGAGGGGCGACCAGGAAGGAGAGGGAGAACACAATAGGTTAGAATTAAATTATAGATGGTTTTGAAAGCCAAAAATATGAAGTTTAACAATGGGTGCCTGTGACGATTTTTGAACAGAAGAAATTTATAGTCAGAGCTGAACAAAAGGAAGAATTCTCTAGCAGATATGCATGCAGCTGACATTGCAGAGATCAAGGTAGAAACTCTCACAATAGAACCAGCATGAAGTAAGGTGCCTGAACTTGGAGGAAGAAAGAGAAAATAAAATCAAGTGGAAGAATTTATGGGAATTGACTGACAGGACTGATGAATTCTAGGACTGAGCAAATAAATATAGAGTCCAGGTTTTGAGCCTGGATGACTAAGAAGCAGGCGTAGTATTTGCAAAAGCTGATCTGTGAGAATGAAAATCCAGGTGCCCTTGAGACAAGGAAAGAGGGCCATGACCTTGGGCGTGGTGGAGCTCTTCACTGCACCCCCCTCCTCCCAGGGCTGTGGTGGGTGTTTCTACAGCCTCAGATCAGGGGTCTTGGCTCTGTGGGGTGGAACACACCCACATTTCTCCATTCTGCAGTTTGCTTTGTTGGTTGACTTTTTTTGCTTCATCTTAAATCAGAACTTGGTTTTCGCCTAGTAGCAGTTCACTGGGTGGGGCTTGTCCCCTGGCCTTCCTGGGTAGAGCTTGTTTGAAACTTTTCTTTATTTCCTATTCCCTGAAAGTAATCTGTCATCCCAGTTCCACTGCACTCCTCATTTACATAAGCACACCTTCTGGGCCTTCTGGGCCTTCCGGGCCTTCAGCTTTGCTTTTGTTTAAGAACCAGAAGGTGCCAGTCTCCTTCACTAATCAGATGGAGGGCCTAGGGGCAAGCTTCCTGCCAGTTTGTAAATTCTCACCCTGAGAGACCCAGGAAGGTCATAAAAGGGGAAGTGGGGGAGAAGGAGGCAGAGAATGTCTCCTCTCAGACCCTGAGCTCCCGGCTCTGTGACAGGCTCCAAAGGACTCACTAAGAATCTGCCTAAGGTCCCTTGAAATTCCCTGCAACTGCCAGAAACTGTTTCTTCCTGCATCTACTCCTTGTTGTTGTTTTTTTAAAAAGATTTGTTTATTTATGCATGAAGAGCTGGGGTGTAGGCCAGAGGTGGTGGGTGGGGTTCAGGTTAGAGGTTTCACCAGAGACAGAGTAGGGAGCAGACTGACTGCTCCCCTCAGTCCTGCTCTGAGGGGAGCAGCCAGCCAGACAGGAGAGGTCTGCTGCACCCTGTGGGTCAGCTCCCTAGCCAGGGATCGAATTCGTGTTGCAGTGGCTGTGGATAGCTTCACAGTACTGAGACTTAACCCCTTGCACCACCAGGGAGGCCCCTACTCCTTGATTTTGTGAAAAAATTGCTTTTAGAAGTCTCCTCCCTCTCCTTAAAGGCAGTAACTTGCAGCCACGACCAGCTACATCATTTGCAGGGCTCCATTTTCAATAACTATTAAGAATTTCAAGCGGTGGCAGCAGAGCACTGAACCAGGCACAGGCCCTGATGGATCTTGGCCCAGGGTGCCCGGAGGTCACCCCGCCCACCCGGGCTGTCAGTGCTGCACGAGGTATGACTTTGCTATGCATCCCCACCTCCTGTGTGTGGGCTCACATTTTACCCCACAGAGCCCGTGTCCCTCCCAGCTCACCTTCCACCTGCTCACAGACGTTTTCCACATTCTCTGCTCAGCAGCTTCCCAACTGTTCACACAACTTTCCCAGGGAGCCACCGCTAGAGAAGGATTCTCAGACTTCCTCCACTCAATTCACTCCAGCTTCTTTCCAGCTGATCTTTTTAGCCTTTGATATAGAAGATATTGACCTTCTGGGTGAGATTTGAATATTTTCTCCCAGTCACAGGAGCCGCAAAATGAAAAAGGTGAAGGGATGTCCTTTCCTTGACACCCCCATGAAGCAGCAGTGCTAGGGTTACCCCAGGGGGCGCCTGCTGCTGGGGTTTTCTTCCTGAGGAGGAGGGTGTGGAGAGGTCTGGGACATCCTTGCAGTTACAAATCCCACTTGACCACAGTCCTGCTCTTTAGCTATATGGATGTTATGATCTTCGTTTTTATGTAGATGAGGAAGCCCAGAGAAGTTTCATGAGTTCTTGAGGTCACACAGTAAGGAAATGGTACTGCAACAGGGTGGTCCCCAGGAAAGGGGGAGGTTCCCTGCCCCACCCAAGGGAGGGTGGAGCTGAGCAGGAAGAGGAGAAGCTGCAGAAGAGACTGAGGAAGGAAGCAGGATGGAGCCAGGAGACCTGGAGGAGGCGCGTGGAGCCTAGAGACACGTGAAGAAACTGTGCTTGTCTTTTGGTCGTGGACTGGGTGACACAGATGTGGGTGAGACCCGTGGGGAGGTGACCATGGCAGCTTTTATCTTGATGTTGATTTTGCTCTTTTCCTTCCGGGCTTGTCTGGTTGTTTGTGACCCTTTTCTGTGGGTCCCCACTGGAAGATGCTTTAGACTTGTGGCAGGCTTTGGGGCCTTGTTCTGGGCCAATCCCATATGGATGGACTTTTACCCACGAGGGGACGCGTAACTTTGGGTGCTTCATTTAGAAACTAGATTCTTTGCCTTACCTGTATTGTTTCCTAGTTTTATTAAAGTTCCTTCCCATTAAAGTGTCATATGTTTTGTGTTGATGCGGCGGATGGCAGAACCCATTTAGAATAGGCAGGTTTGAGGGGTTTGGGCTGCCCCTCTCCCTGTCCTATAACAGTACCATCAAAACTAAAATCCACTCCTTGAGTTCTCAAACACCCGCTTCTATTCGGCGTATATAAAAGAATCGACTGCTTTCTGCTTGCCTCCAAAGCTGAACAATTTCCAGCTAATTTTTATTTTCCTATTCTGACTCTTCAGAGACAATCCTGCTACCCAGTTTAACCTCAGGACCCACATGAATTCCCAAGATCTGAAGACAGCCATAGAGAAAATTACCCACAAAGGAGGGCTTTCGAACATAGGTATGTGATCCAGGTGCAGAAGATGCCAGCTTGCTGCTGTGGTTCTCTTCATGCAAGGTTGTCTTCTAATAGTCTATGTGGGAAGAAAAAATAGTAACAGTCCATCAAAAAGTGACTCCTAACATCTGTATCTTCTTTAAGTGTTATCATGGATTCAGGGGCCAAGAATCTTCACACACGCTACAGAGGTTCAGCCTGCCTAGAGCTGGCCGTGGCCACTTCCTCAGGACCAGCCGTTATGACTGTTTCCTGATTGGTGTAGAGGGCCACTCCTCAATGTTAAGTTTTGTAACCTGTCCCATTCAGGAAACCACAAAATCTTGAAAATCTTGTTCTAATCCGCTGCTGTTAAATAGTATTAACTGTACAGTTTCCTTGTTTCTAGTTGAGTCTGCTATGATGTCTGTGCTTTGGCAGCAGGGAGGGGAGGGGCAGGAGGGGGCAGTCACCAGAAGTCCATGGTCTAGTCCTCAGCCAGTCAGGTCCAGAAACTCCATTTCATCAGTTCACCTGGCAGTGCCCAACATTAGTAAACAGTTTTGCACTAACCCAGAGGCTACCAGTGAACCCCGTGACAGTGCATTCATTTGTAAATGGTGGTCTGGCTCTGGAGGCAATGGGAGGGGTGATTGTCCTCTTCCCTGGGAAACTGCTCCTATCATCAATGTCCAAGGAGATAGAAAAGTGAGGGACAGTTACTTGGCATGGAGCCCACACCAGGACTAGAACCATCTTTGAGAAAGCATTTTTGCAGTGACAGCAAACTTGTTCATTACTTCCTTCCTCACCACAGTGTACATCTCTGTAGACCAGTATATTAGAGATACAGAACCTTGGATCTTGGAACAAGCTACATAAATACTGGTGAAGTCACTGCTATCCAGGATCCCAGATCAATATTATCTCAGAGACAAGCATGATAGAGTTGAATTCTGATTTGTTTTCACTTTAAAACTTAGATAAATGAAATTCCAATAATATCTCATGAAGTAAAACTTCAGAAGACACATTATTTACTTCATGGGATTAGAGAGTTGTCTTAGTATGACATATTCTAACTCTGCCCTGCATTGATTAGGGTTTGGGTTCAGAGAACAAAATCCGATCCATCTGTTTCGAGCAGAGAGGGATTTATGTCAGAGCAGTAAATGGTTTTGAGAATTATTGGAAGAGCTAAGGAGATGAAATCTAGGATGAGCTCTCAGTGGCAACTTCTAAAGCTTCCTAGAGAGCCAGGACTCCTAGGCTCTGCAAGGTTCTTGCCTCTTCCAAGACCAGGACATGGCTTTGCCTCTTCCAAGGCCAGGACACGACCTTCTGAATTCTGCCGCCACAGCCTCTTCGGGCATCTGTTTCAGCCAGGACACCGCCACCATCAGGAAGCTTCTGCTACAGCTGTGAGCTCCAGAACCACACCTTGTCTACCCCCTTTAAATCTACTGATGGTCTGCACCCCACCACCTCAATGCCACACTAGTGACCAAACACAGCCAACCATGCTAACCCTGCCCCAGAGAAGTCAGATACCCCACTGTCCGCAGAAAGAGCAGAAACACAAGTCCAATCTCTGCCTCACTTTCCTCTCTAAATCTCATGTGAGCACATCAGTTCATGAAACTAAAACAAAGCCAGAGCTTTAGCTCAAAGGAGTCTCAACGAAGTCATTTTCACATTTACAGCCCCTTATTTTCAAGGCCTACTGAAGGTGGATGGAATGGGAGTTGAGCACTAACTGACCACATCCTCCAAATTTAAGGCAGTGTGAGATTAAGAGGATCTTCTATTGATGCCTGCAGTCCCCTGACATTAATATTTCACACATTCTAAGGCCACAGGAAATTTTCAGTCAAGCGGAGGGACCCATTGTCCCAGTGTTCTGGAACTTTCTAAGTTTTGCCAATGAAAGTGTCCATATTCTCCTGGGCACACTTATGCTTTGGGCCTTGAGGGAAATTTTCCCTTAGCTATGAAAGCAGTTCTCATCAGGCAAGGTTTTCCCTAAGCGACAGTGTTCTATGTAGTCTGCTCATGTGGGTTCTCCAAGACACTTTCCCAGCACCTGTTTATTTGACCAACTGGCCTTTTATTTGGCAGGAATGGTTATGCTTTCCAGAGGAGCCGGGATGCTGGCAGAAACCAGAAAAGCACTGAGTGTAACAACATTAGTCCTAAAGTTTTAAAAGAGTGGTTCTTAACTTACTTAAGTGAGGGATCCTTTTGAGAATCTCTTAAGCACTACGGCCCTCCTACCCAAATATATGCCTTAACATACAAAATACTATGCACGATTGAAGAGCATCTGTGTATACACATTCCCAGTGCCACCAGGGGCCGCAGACCCAGATGAGAGCCTGGCCTTACCATATGCATCTATCCTGACTCAGTCCTGACTTGCCAACCATCCCAGTTTGCCCAGGAGAATATGGGCACTTTCAGTGGCAAAACTGAGAAAGTTCTAGAAAACTGGGACAGTGGGTCTCCCTGCTTAACTGAAAATTTCCTGTGGGTCTTAGAATGTGCGAGGTATGTATATGGGCAAGTGGAAAGTCTTCATTACGTCTCATCACTATTACACGCAGCAAAAGCAGATTGTGGTGATGGAAATCTAGGCCCAGAGACATCGAGTGTCCTGCCCTAGGCCACACAACCAGTAGGTGGCACGGCCAGGGCTGAGCACAGTCCCTCAGTTAATGATGCAGTGCTGTCCTGGCCAGCTAGACCAGAGCCGGGAAGCTCAGCACAGACATCACTGAGCCCAGAAGATGTGCTTCATGCACAAGCGCTCCCGGAGCAATGTGCTCCCCCGGCAGGCCAGAAAGAGTCTCTGTCTCTCAAAGCCAACCCCTCCGGGCCTAGGCTCCCAGACACAGGAGGGGCTGGCTTAGGGGCTGGGTGCGGTTCCAGTGACTGGCAAGAAGGGGCTTTTTTGTTCCCAAGAGTCTTTCTCCCTTGCTGATCCCTAAAGCTATTTTTTTACTGAGAGAATTAGACAGTAGAGGCTTAAAATGAAACTCGAGAGGGAAATGGAAAATGGTGATGGTTGTCCAGCATTGTGGATGTACTTAACACCCGTGAACTGCACACCTGAAACAGTCAATGTAGTAGAAGGAAGGCAGGGAGGGAGGGTTGAGTGTGGTTTTGGACTGTGCGTCTGTGATCTGTTCCTGTGTTTATGATAAGTATGATCACTCCAAGCATGAGTTTTCTTTTCTTCCAGGCCGGGCCATTAACTTTGTGACCAAGAGCTTCTTCTCCAAGGCCAACGGAAATAGAGGCAGTGCTCCCAACGTGGCCGTGGTCGTGGTGGACGGCTGGCCCACAGACAAGGTGGAGGAGGCGTCCCAGCTCGCCAGAGAGTCAGGAATCAACATTTTCTTCATCACCGTTGAAGGTGCTGTGGAAAGTGAGAAGCAGTTCGTGATGGAGCCCAACTTTTCCAACAAGGTATGGAACTGCCCGGAGACACACCCAACAGAAGGATTTCCTGCACTTCGCAAAGCTGGACCAGCCATCCCGCTGGTTTTCTCCTTCCTTCAAATGGGTGTTAGCTCACCTCTAGGCAGAAGGGCCTCCAACAAGGGACTAGTGAGGCTGGAACCTGGAATTACCTTCTCAAAGCAACCCCCACAGGTGCGAGGGCCAGCATCACTGCCCTGGGAGGAGATGGAGAGCAGGGTCCCCAAGGTCCCATCTGGTGGCTCTCCTGGGTCCATGCAGAGCCCCACGGGACTCGCATCAGGCAGCTCAGCGCACGGGCTCACACAGACACACGATTCACTTTGTCCGTCTCCTTCGCGGATCGCCCCAGTTTAGTTTGGGTTTCACAGTGAAGGCCACCTCATGCCTGTGAAGAGTCTTCCAGCCCTGTGGGCCCCGCAGAAGCAGAGGCAAGCAGGGCACGCACGAGGCACTCTGGCCCGCTCTCTTCCAGGACCACACCAGCCAGGTTGCTCAGTGTTTACTTGCCACTGCCTTGAACTTCTTCTGGAACAAGTGTGGGTGCAAATAAATAAATATTCACTTGCCTGGAGGCAGGGTTTTCTGGAGGACAGAGTTTGGGTTTTAAAGGCAAGTGTTCCAGGACTCAGGGGTGTCCCTTTGCTGCTGGCCTCAGTTTATTCCTTCCTGACAAGGGGGGTCATAGTTTCACCATGAGGGTTTACAGTGGGGGTTTATTAAGTGACTCCCTGCAAAAGTTTCTAGTACATTCCCTGACTCATTCGAGGGAACCTGTCTCTCTGGGCACAAGGAGGCTCTGGAAAGATTTCTTGACTCATTTCTCATTTCTTGAGTCATTGTCTTGTTTTCCCAATCAGAGCAACAGCTGGCTTTCATCCTCTGACGTGTTGGTGGCCAACGACGATCTCGTGGTGGCCGCCAGTGCAGTGAACTGAGTGCAGAGAGGCAGAAACAGAAGCTGAAAACAGAGATTCACCTCTGGCTGTGGATTTGCCTAACCAGTGGGTCTCCACTAAAGCAGAGACTGGGGGTGAGGCCAGAGCTCACTGGCGGGGGTCTTTGCCCAGTGACTGTGAAGGGGTGACCAGAGATGGGAAAGGGAGTCAGGAGGACTAGTCCAGAAAACAAGGGTCCGCTTGTTTCGTTACCTCCCCTGGAGACAGGCTGGAAGACTTGACCCCTGACGTGGCGAGTGTCCCTCTCCTCTGTCTTCCAGGCTGTGTGCAGAACAAACAGCTTCTACTCGCTCAACGTGCCGAGCTGGTTCAGCCTCCACAAGACCCTGCAGCCCCTGGTGAAGCGGGTGTGTGATACTGACCGACTGGCCTGCAGCAAGACCTGCTTCAACTCCGCCGACATCGGCTTTGTCATCGACGGCTCCAGCAGCGTGGGGACGGGCAACTTCCGCACCGTTCTCCAGTTCGTGGCCAACCTCAGCAAAGAATTTGAGATTTCGGAGACAGACACGCGGATCGGGGCCGTGCAGTACACCTATGAGCAGCGGCTGGAGTTCGGGTTCGACGAGTATAGCACCAAGGCCGACATCCTCAACGCCATCAAGAGGGTGGGGTACTGGAGTGGGGGCACCAGCACGGGGGCTGCCATCAACTATGCCCTGGAACAGCTCTTCAAGAAGTCCAAGCCTAACAAGAGGAAGTTAATGATACTCATCACCGATGGGAGGTCTTATGACAATGTGCGAATCCCAGCCATGGCTGCCCACAACAAGGGTAAGCGGGTCTCTCTGGCCAGTGTGGGGTGAGCTTCTCATTGCGGTTTGATGGGTCCAAGGAAGGGAGAATCTTTTTATTCATTTGGTTTTGTCTATCACTTAATAAAAGGTTCAAAACTGTAGGGAGAGGGGCCTCCCTGGTGGCGCAAGGGGTTGAGTCTCAGCACTATTAAGCTATTGGCAGCCACTGCAGCACAAGTTCAATCCCCAGCTGGCCAGGGAGGTGAGCTACATGGCGCAGCAGACCTCTCCTATCTTGCCCGCTGCTCCCCTCAGTAATGTATTGCAGTAGATCTGCCTGTTCTGCTCCCCACTCTGTCTCTGGTGAATCCTCTCACCCCCCACACCTCTGGCCTACACCCTAGCTCTTGTATGCATAAATAAATAAAATAAATTTTTAAAAAACTATAGACAGAGTATTAGGGGTGTAGTTAAACACCACAGGACTCTTTAAGGAGCAGAAATGAACAGGGCAGTGGGCTCTCGTGTCCTGGTTGCATGGATAGGATCTGTAACTATCAAGGCCTATATCTGTAACTATATTCTGGCAGCTTTAAAGAACAAGGACCCTTCCAAAAGGCCAACAATAATTTAATCCAGCAACAGGAGGGCCAGATACATTGGCAGGGCCTGTTCCTGGGGACATCTGTTCCTCTCACCTTTGTCCCCGCAGGAGTCATCACCTACGCCATCGGTGTGGCCTGGGCTGCACCGGACGAGCTGGAAGTCATCGCCACCCACCCTGCCAGGGACCACTCCTTCTTCGTGGACGAGTTTGACAACCTCCACAAATCTGTCCCCCAGATCCTCCGGAACATTTGTACAGAGTTCAATTCCCAGCCTCGGAACTGAATTCAGAGCAAGCAAAGCACCGGCAAGGGCTGCCTTCCCGGCCAGCTCCGGGACCCCTCTGCAGTGCTTCACAGGGCCACCCAGGGCAGCAAAGCATGCGGGCATGGAAAGCAGATGCATTGTTATGACTTTTTGCCAGTGGGGTTCTGTGTACTTCAAAATGTGGAGTAGAAAATGCCCATACTTTTGTAAAATGCACCAAAATGATACATTCATTTGGAGGGTGCTATGGTTTTACAGTTTGAGAATTATTTTCAAAACAAATGTTCTGGTAGGGGGCAGCACTTATCACAGGCTGGATGAGGGCTTTTCTGAGGTTTTTAAGATTTTTTTTTTACTTCTCATTAAAATTCTATAACCCTCAACATGTACTTTTGTCGTGATAATGTAGGAGTTGCTGAGTGAGAGGTTAAAAAGGACCGCGTGCAGCCCTGGGTCTGGGTCAAGGACAGGGTTTGTGGCAAGGCCACCCTATGCTCTGCTCCATTCCCCAGCACCTGCTGTGCACCTGCCTCTGCTCTGAGGTGCCCACACACCACCCACAGGGGCGCTGAGAAAGCAAAGCAGCCACAGCAGCTCCAGATTTGCTCTCTTTTCACTGTTATCTGAACCCCTTGCACCTGCAACAGAGATTTCAGAGAGGTTGGCATGGCCTTGAGGGGCCTGCATCTTATGTAAAGTACTGAGTTAGGCTGGTGCAGACACTTTCAGTCCAAGCCGCATAGCAGAATCCTTGGGAGATTAAAATGCTGGTTTCCAGGTCCCGCTCCCTGCCAGTAACATCAGAGTCGCTGGGAATGGAGCCTGCAGGTCATACTGCTTCACTGCCAGGATTGAGAACAACTGGGCTGCCTCTGCAGGGTCCCCATTACAGCTGCTTCCAGGGAGAGTCCCCAGTTACGCCTGAGTAACATCCAGTTTAGCATTTGTCCTGGATTCTTCATTTGTTAACTCGGTATTATTAGTATTTGCTTTAAGTAAACCACGATGGGATTTGGTGGAACTCCATTTCTGCCAATAAGGACTCATCTATTAGGATGTGAAATACATGTGAAGTGGGGAAAGGTAAAAAAGAATCATAGAGATGACTTCTTTAAATTGTTTTGTAAAAAATGCGTGTTGAAGAATGCTACTCTGAATGGAAGCAAAAAGAGGGTACCTTGTCAATACTTGGGATGAAATATTCACATAAAATATTTGAATTGCACTTAACTTGGTAACAAAATTTGAATTGATTATATCATTCATTTTACAGAATTTACACTGAATTTATTATGCTCAGTACCTGGAGAGTGTATTGCTATTAGAAATATTGAGGCCTAAGGAGAAGAATCAATTAAAGGTGTCAGCAATTTCAAATTTATTAACCATAAATTTTACTTTGAAGCCACTTGCAAAACTATTTGTTCAAAATCCTCAAAATACATAAATCGTCTGGGGCCTCCCTGGTGGCGCAGGGACTAAAGACAGTGCTATCAAGCTACTGCCGGCCACTGCAGCATGAGTTCTATTCCCGGCTAGGGAGCTGACCCACATGGCACAGCAGACTTCTGTCTTGCCCGCTGCTCCCCTCAGCAGTGTATTTCAGTAGATCTACCTGTTTTGCTCCCCACTCTGTCTCTGGTGAATCCTCTCACCCCATCCCCTGCACCTCTGGCCTATACCCCAGTCCTTGTATGCCTAAATAAATAAATCTTTTTTAAAAAAATACAAAAATCATCTTAAAAAGGAAGTGCCACATAAAATTATCAGTGATGCACTGTTAGTGCCTCAGCTAAAAATTCTGTTTTTGAATGTGAGGATAATTGACATGAAGGTTTTTTTTTCCTTCCAATGTTATAATCAATGTGCACATACAACTTATTTTAATTTTTTTGAAGAAAAAGTTATTTTGGAAAACAGTTTTTGCATGTAACTATAGTATGGGGTCTTAAAAACAAATTTGTCATCAGTCAGTAAATATTCCTAAAGACAGTATAATTTAAATACTTTGGTGCTCTCTTTCATTCACAAAGTTGTCCCAGTTTGGGAAACAAACTCTATGTTTATCTTAGTTATAGGTATTACAGTTTTGAAGATGAATGGAACTTCTTTGAACTGTTCCCTTATTTACGTATAGTCAATAAATATTTGAGTGCAGACCCTTGTGGGAGAAAAGATCATCAGATGACTGGATCAAGAAGATGTGGTACATATACACCAGGGAATATTACTCAGCCTTCAAAAAAGATAAACACATGCAATTTGCAGCAACATGGATGGAGCTGGAAGGGATCATGCTCGGTGAAATAAGCCAGAAAGAAAAAAATACCGGATGGTCTCACTCATAGCAGGAATCTAGAAAACTTAAATAAGGGACCAGGAAAATGAATAACTATAAGAAAGTGAAAATCAGAATCAACAAAAAACTATGAACCAGAGACACTTTTTGGGGGGTGGGGGGCGGGAAGGGAGGGATTGGGGTAAGAATGAGGGGGTTGCAATTGTATGGGGAATATAAAAATAAAATTTATTATTTAAAAAAAAAGAAAAAAAAAAAGGGGAAAAAAAAAAAAAGATCATCAGAATCGAGGTGGTGCAGGTACTCCAGCTCATCAGAATTGTCTGTGGCTGCTCAAGTCGCCAGAGCTGGTGTCAGGAGTCACGATGGCGGGAGAAACGGTGAACTTGTTCTGGTATGTTCGGGTGAGGGAAGGTAACTGGGGTGAGAAGATAGCAGGGACAGGGTTGGAGGGCCAAGGCTGGGGGCTTGTTGGAGGAAGGAGGAAGGTTTGGAAAGTCAACGAGGGAAGAGTAGACCTCTCCCCATTCCAGGTGTGAATACATGGGTGACAGAGCACAGACAGCCTTCACTCAGGAGGTTGCACAAGACAACTGGGTTTGAGGCAAGTGGGGGCTCTTGGGAGGTCATGACAACAGAGAGGAGCTCCCCATGTGGGACTGGGTTAGACCAGGGTTTGTCCAGAACAGTTTGGAGAAAAGTGTCCTGGTGATGAGGGGAACATGGGAGACATGGATATAAATGCAACTTTGATCAACCTAACTTGTGCCCAACGCCGCCAGGCAGAGCTAAAATCTTCACACTGGAAATGGAGGCTTAGAGACAGACCATGTCAAACCTGCCAAATGCAAAGTCAGGCCAGAAGACATTTGTGCAGATACAAAGGAACAGAGCTCAGAACCCTTGTCTTCTGCTCTGTTGACTCACCAGCCTGCCTTCTTGAGGGGCCTGAATCCCCCACCCCTGTCCCACATGCATACCTGGGGCTACAGATGGAAGGAGGGGGACTCCACTCCAGCCTTTGCAGAGCTCTCTGGGTCCCGCAGACTCCAGCACCGACATCCAAAGGCCATTCTCTCTCATTCCACAGTCTCAGCAGAAAGGTCTTCCATGTCCTTTTTCTTCCAACCAAAACAAGCAGACAAGGAGCATCAGATCAGCTCTTCTGAATAAACATGTGTCTAAACTCTACTTAATTTTCCCATCTCTCAGGAGGTAGAACCCTTTGAAAGAGTTTCTTTGCAAGAAAGTTTTGTATCAAGACTCTGCTAAAAATTTCCAGCAGAGCTGACAAAATTCAAATATTTCTTTTTTTCTCTGGACTCTTTAAACCCTTTTGAGCAGGACCAATCATTTATGAAGTAAGTTTCCCAGCCATCTTAGGAGGCTGGCATGACTTTTATTTTTTATTTTATTTTATTTTTTTACTTAGAAATGCCTCTTTTATTTATTTATTTATTTATTGAAGATTTATTTTTATTTATTTATGCAAGCACTGGGTACAGTCAGAAGCGTGGGAGTGTGAGAGAATTCACCAGAGCCAGAGCGGGGAGCAGAGCAGGCAGAAGGACCGAAGTACACTGCTGAGGGGAGCAGCGGGCGGCAGGAGAGGTCTGCGCACCATGTGGGACCCTCCTCTGGTGGCCGGGGAGTGGCCGGGGATCGAACAGGCGCTGCAGAGGCTGCGGGCAGCTTCGCAGCCCAGCGCTCAACTACTGCGCCACCGGGGAGGCCCTGGCATGACTTTTATAAGGAAGACAACATATCTCTATCCATGGCCTTTCTAAATAATAATGTTATTTTCAAGTTACAACCTAAGAAAAGTTCGCCCTCTATGTTACCAATATATTAATGTAGTGAGTAGGAAATATGCTTGAAAGCATGAATTCATTTATTTTGGGAAGAGGCATTTATTCAGCTAATGCCTTTAAGGAATTCACAGTCTTACGGGAAACCACACACAAATGAACAGTTAAAATGGTATAATTACTATCATGGGATTATGCGTACCGAGCATGACAGCAGCTTGCAAACAACCTCTTGAGAAATGAAAAGGTAATAGCATCTAACAGTATTTGCTGCTTCACATGCATCAACTCACTTATCTCTATGATTTTCTAAGAGAAGTATTATTCGTGTTCTCATTTTACAGATCATGCAATCAGGGCATGGCGATGCCTATTAAACCCAGGCAATCGGACCCCAGGGTCTGTGTACTTAACCTCTGCTTCTTATAATAGTAGCACATGAGATGATCAAAGGGCTGCATCGGGGGTTCTCTAGTAAGCTTGACAATTTAAAATACACATATAATTCTGCAAAGTATACTCTGAGGATCTATTAAATGTGTAAAGTGAAGAGTCTGTTAAATGTCCAATGAAAACTGCACTTCGCCCTTTCACTGCTGCTGACTCTCTCTGCCCTCACTTAGAATGGATGATTTTAATCTAGAGTCCACAGTTCCTGGGCTGCCCATCCTCTTGTTAAACTCCTATTCATCCTTCCAGCCTCCATCCGAATGTCATTTCCTCTTTGGAGCCCTCCCTGACCTACTCACATGGACAAGCTCTCTGGATACACAATCATGACCCACCTATTTTTCAGGGTCCTCCTTAGTCCCTTTTCCCGAGGGGGGGATGCACATCAAGGACAAGGACTAAAGGGGATGAGAACTTCGAATCTAGGTCAATTTGACAGTGCCAATCCCTAATACGAAGGCGAGGGAAGGAGGGGAGACAAAAGAGAGAAACAGGATATGATGGCAAGAGAAACAGAGCGTCAAATTTCTTCCAGATTGCACTACTCTTTTGGATGCCTTTCTAAGGTTCATTACATTATGTGACAGTCAGTTTTTCTAGAACCAGAATCTTCTTCAGGCATCTACCCACAGGGTAACTTTATTCTTCACCTTCTGCTCTCATTGCTCTGTAGAAATGAAAACTCCTTTTTCTGTTTACCTTCCAGAGTTTCATTCAGCAAATATGATTTAAGCACCTATTATTGCTAGCTTATTTTATTGTTAGTCTTTTGCTAGGTGTTGTGTTAAGCACTGGGGTAC